CACACTCACTCGCTGACACTTGCTCACTCACACTTGCTCACACTCGCTCACACTCGCTCGCTCACGCTCACTCACCCTCGCTCACGCTCACTCACTCTCGCTCACGCTCACTCACTCTCGCTCACTCACACTCGCTCACTTACTCATACTCGCTCACTCACTCGCTCGCTCACTCAGACTCGCTCACTCACTCACTCACTCTCGCTCACACTCACTCACTCTAGCTCACACTCACTCACTCTAGCTCACACTCGCTCACTCACTCACTCACACTCGCTCACTCACTCGCTCGCTCACACTCGCTCTCACTCGCTCACACTCGCTCACTAACTCACGCTCGCTCACACTCACTCACTATCGCTCGCTCACACTCGCTCACTCACTCACTCTAGCTCACACTCGCTCACTCACTCGCTCACACTCGCTCACTAACTCACACTCGCTCGCTCACACTCGATCACACTCACTCACACTCGCTCGCTCACACTCACTCCCACTCGCTCGCTCACACTCGCTCACTCACGCTCACTCACTCACACTCACTCGCTCACTCACCCTCCCTCACGCCACTCCCCCTCACCCCACTCCCCTCACCCCACTCCCCCTCACCCCACTCCCCTCACCCCACTCCCCCCTCACACCACCCCCCCTCACCCCACTCCCCCTCACCCCCCCCCTCACCCCATTCCCCCCTCACCCCCGCCTCGCTTCTTGGTGTTGGAAACTCCGCCGCTCATAGAAGCGTGGTCATCCCAGGGCTGTGTGTTTGTTTGTGTGTGTCTGTGTGTGTCTGTGTGTGTTTGTTTGTGTGTGTCTGTGTGTTTGTTTGTGTGTGTGTCTGGTTGTGTCTCTGTGTGTGTTTGCGTGTGTCTGTGTGTCTGTGTGCGTGTGTGTCTGTGTGCCTGTGTGTTTGTTTGTGTCTGTGTGTGTCTCTGTGTGTGTGTCTCTGTGTGTTTGTTTGTGTGTGTCTGTGTGCCTGTGTGTGCGTGCCTGTGTGTGTGCATGTGCCTGTGTGTGTTTGTGTGTCTGGTTGTGTGTCTGTGTGTGTCTGTGTGTGCATTTGTCTGGTTGTGTCTGTGTGTGTGTCTGTCTGTGCGTGTCTCTGGTTGTGTTTGTTTGTGTGTCTGTGTGTGTGTGTGTCTGGTTGTGTTTGTTTGTGTGTGCGTGTGTGTGTGTTTGTGTGTACGTGTGTCTGGTTGTGTGTGTTTGTGTGTGCGTGTGTCTGGTTGTGTTTGTTTGTGTGTCTCTGTGTGTGTGTCTGGTTGTGTTTGTTTGTTTGTGTGTCTGTGTCTTTGTGTGTGTTTGTGTGTGCGTGTGTCTGTGTCTTTGTGTGTGTTTGTGTGTGCGTGTGTCTGGTTGTGTTTGTTTGTGTGTCTCTGTGTGTGTGTGTCTGGTTGTGTTTGTTTGTTTGTGTGTCTGTGTCTTTGTGTGTGTTTGTGTGTGCGTGTGTCTGGTTGTGTTTGTTTATGTGTCTCTGTGTGTGTTTGTTTGTGTGTCTCTGTGTGTTTGTTTGTGTGTCTCTGTGTGGGTTTGTGTGTGCGTGTGTCTGGTAGTGTTTGTGTGTCTCTGTGTGGGTTTGTGTGTGTGTGTGTGTCTGTGTCTTTGTGTGTTTGTGTGTGCGTGTGTCTGGTTGTGTTTGTTTGTGTGTCTCTGTGTGGGTTTGTGTGTGTGCGTGTGTCTGGTTGTGTTGGTTTGTGTGTCTCTGTGTGTGTTTGTGTGCCCCCAACTGTGCCAACCTGCTGTGCTTTAGCCACCCGGCGCTCGGCCCGTTGTTGCGAGCGTCGCTCCTCCGCCCTCCGTTGTTGTTGGAGGGCGACTGCCTCCAACTGCCCAGTAGCGTCCTTCACGAGCCTCCTCCACAGAGGCCGATCTTGACACCGCTGGTACCAGTCATTGGCAAGTCCACTCAGCTCCACGTCCTCCTGTACCACATCACTCCATCTCTTCTCTAGCCTGTGCCGCGCCCATTTAGCCCCCTCGATCCGGCCGAACAAAAGCTGTTTCGGCATGCGGTGGCTGGGAATGCGGGCTACATGACCCAGCCATCGCAGCCTTGCCCGCCGGAGGAGCTCACCGATGGGACCTTGCCCAGATCTTTCAAGGATTTGTGAGCTCCTCACACAATCCAGCCTGATTAAACCCAGGATGGATCGTAGGCAGGCCAGCCTAAATGTTTCTAACCGGCGAAGATGTTCCATTCGCAAGCGTAGAGAAGCGAGGGAATGACCGTGGCCGAGAAGACCTGAAGCTTAGTGCGGAGCGACAGACCAGGTAGCTTCCACACAGTGTTACGCAACCGATGAAAAGATATTGCCGCTCGACTGATTCGGAGTGAAACCTCTGCTGTTAAACTGGAGCCGGTCATAAGCACACTGCCCAGGTATGGGAAACTCTCCACTCTCTCCACAACTGCCCCATCACCGATTGGGAGTTGTGGGGGTGGAGTGTCCGATGGTACAAAATACCCAGGCAGGTGCTTAGTTTTGGTGGGGCTGATGGTAAGGCCCCATCTCTTATTGGCACGCTCCAGTCTCAGCAGCAGCGTCTCCAACTCCTCCTCTGTATGAGCAGCTATTACCAAATCATCGGCATACATAACGTGGTTGAGCAATAGGGAGCCATCCCTTGACCGCACCCGGGCATCGATCAGCCTCCTATTATATCTGTACCAAATGGACATTCCCCCGGTACAGCTATTGAAAGCTTCACGAACTACGTGGTCAAAATAGATGTTAAATATTGTGGGAGCCAGAGGACATCCCTGTCGCACCCCAAGGTGTACAGAGAATGGCTCTGACTCCCGGCCACGTAGTTTTACCCGGGCCCGCTCACCATCATGAAGGTCCTTAATATCGTGAGCAGAGGGTCAGGGACTCCAAAAGCACGAAGAACAACCCAGAGCCCAGGCCTACTGATGGTCTCATAGGCCTTGACCATGTCAATAAAGCAGAGATGTAGGTCTTGTAGGAATTCCCTACACCTCTGCTGTAGCAGACGGACAGAGAATATGGCATCTGTGCAGGACCGCCCTTTCCTGAAACCGCTTTGGGGCTCTGCAAACCTCTCCTCAGCGTGCCTGGCAAGGCGATGTTGAATAATCCTTGCCAGGACCTTTCCCGGCACACTGAGGAGTGAGATGCCCCTGTAGTTGTTACAGTCTGTGCGGTCCCCCTTCTTAAAGAGGGGGACCACCAGGGCATCCTTCCATTCCTGCGGAACCCGTCAAGTGGTCCAGACTGTTGTTATGATGTCATATAGGGCAGTCTGTGCACAAACGCCACCCTCCCTCAGCATTTCGCTTGGGAGATCATCTCTGCCCGCTGCCTTTCCTGGTCTCAGACTCCTGATCGCCTTCAGTACTTCCTCAACAGATGGCACTTCAGCCAGCCACTCACAGGGGGTGACTTCTTCCAATATTTGAGGCACCGCAGCCTCAGGTACACACACTCAGGTACACACACAGAGATGCTCACACACACACAGGTGCACACACACAAGTACACACACACAGAGGTACACACACTCAGGTACACACACACAGGTACACACACACAGGTGCACACACAGAGATGCTCACACACACACAAGTACACACACACACACAGGTGCACACACACACACAGGTGCACACACACAAGTACACACACACAGAGGTACACACACTCAGGTACACACACACAGGTACACACACACAAGTACACACACACAGAGGTGCTCACACGCACGCAGGTGCTCACGCATGCCCCTGCCATCCGGGGTGTGAAGCCTTCCGCGTTTCAACAAAAAAAAATCCCCAAAAAAAGAAATCCGCACGTCGCAGACGGCGTTCCCTGCTGAGCCGACACGCACCAGGACAAAGCTCCCCCCCTCCAGTGTAGCCTTCCACAGGCTGTAGGGGCAAGTGCCGTTAGCGGCAGCACCTACGAAGGCTACCGCCACTGTGGCACACGAGGGGGTGGGTGGCCAGCACCACGCCGGGCCGCCTTTGTCTCCCCAGTGCTAGCGATGTTCGCTACACACCGCTACACCAGGTACTCGGTTGAGGCTGAGTCGACCTAGGGGAGGATGCCCAGGACGGGTTTAGATCGTCGCTTCACCGATGTCGGTGGTGAGCGCGAGCGGGGATCGAACTCTCGGGGTGCCGGGTTCATAGAGCCACGGGATGGCCACCACCACTCCCCGCTAGCGCTCCCCGGTCTCACACACGGACACACTGAGACACAACACAAACACACACACAACGCAGACACACACACGACACAACACAGACACACACACGACACAACACACACACGACACAACACACACACGACACAACACAGACACACAAACGACACAACACAGACACACACACGACACAACACACACACGACACAACACACACACGACACAACACAGACACACACACGACACAACACACACACGACACAACACAGACACACACACGACACACGACACAACACAGACACACACACGACACAACACAGACACACACACGACACAACAAAGACACATGACACAACACAGACACTCACACACGGCACAACAAAGACACACGCGACACAACACAGACACACACACGACACAGACACACACACGACACAACACAGACACGCGACACAACACATACCACACACAGGTATCACCACCAGCCTTTCCATTACAGGGCAAGTATGGGGCGGGGGGGGTGCTGAAAGTACAAACGCAGCTCGCACAATAGGAGTGTGAAGGCCGTGACGTGGGTGTTAGTGGTGGTGGTGGTAGAGAGTGGTCAGTGTAGCGGTCAGTGTAGCGGTCAGTGTAGCGGCCAGCACCCCGCACTGCGAACGCGGCAATCTGAGTTCGATTCCCGCTCACGGCCACCACCAGCGCCGACGACAATGATGACGTTGGAACGATGTTGATGTGGTGATGGATGCTAACAATGACGATGGTGGTGAAGATGTAACGAGTATGGTGTTGATGTGGTGATGATGGTGTGGTGATGTTGCGGTGCCCAGGCTGGATGCATCACACAGCCGAGCAGCTGGGAGAGAAATCTCAACGTGAGTCCTGTGCAATCCAGTGCCTGCAGAAGTCGCTGGAAGTCGACCCAAACTCGGGCCAGTCCTGGTACTACCTGGGCAGGTACGTGATGTGGTCCTCTAGTGGCTAGCGGGGTGAGTGGGTGGGTGGAGTTTGTGTGATCTCCCCCTGTTCTACAGAGTGAGTGGAGTTTGTATGATCTTCACCTGTTCTACAGAGTGAGTGTGAGTGGAGTTTGTGTGATCTCCCCCTGTTCTACAGAGTGGAGTTTGTGTGATCTCCCCCTGTTCTACAGAGTGAGTGGAGTTTGTGTGATCTCCCCCTGTTCTACAGAGTGAGTGTGAGTGGAGTTTGTGTGTTCTCCCCATGTTCTACAGAGTGAGTGAGTGGAGTTTGTGTGATCTCCCTCTGTTCTACAGAGTGAGTGGAGTTTGTATGATCTCCCCCTGTTCTAGAGTGAGTGGAGTTTGTGTGATCTCCCCCTGTTCTACAGAGTGAGTGGAGTTTGTGTGATCTCCCCCTGTTCTACAGAGTGAGTGGAGTTTGTGTGATCTCCCCCTGTTCTACAGAGTGAGTGGAGTTTGTATGATCTTCACCTGTTCTACAGAGTGAGTGTGAGTGGAGTTTGTGTGATCTCCCCCTGTTCTACAGAGTGAGTGGAGTTTGTGTGATCTCCCCCTGTTCTACAGAGTGAGTGGAGTTTGTGTGATCTCCCCCTGTTCTACAGAGTGAGTGGAGTTTGTATGATCTTCACCTGTTCTACAGAGTGAGTGTGAGTGGAGTTTGTGTGTTCTCCCCCTGTTCTACAGAGTGAGTGAGTGGAGTTTGTGTGATCTCCCCCTGTTCTACAGAGTGAGAGTGAGCAGAGTTTGTGTGATCTCCCCCTGTTCTAGAGTGAGTGGAGTTTGTACGATCTCCACCTGTTCTACAGAGTGGGTGGAGTTTGTGTGATCTCCCCCTGTTCTACAGAGTGAGTGGAGTTTGTGTGATCTCCCCCTGTTCTACAGAGTGAGTGGAGTTTGTGTGATCTCCCCCTGTTCTACAGAGTGAGTGGAGTTTGTATGATCTCCCCCTGTTCTACAGAGTGAGTGGAGTTTGTGTGATCTCCCCCTGTTCTACAGAGTGAGTGAGTGGAGTTTGTGTGATCTCCCCCTGTTCTACAGAGTGAGTGGAGTTTGTGTGATCTCCCCCTGTTCTACAGAGTGAGAGTGAGCAGAGTTTGTATGATCTCCCCCTGTTCTACAGAGTGAGCAGAGTTTGTATGATCTCCCCCTGTTCTACAGAGTGAGTGGAGTTTGTGTGATCTCCCCCTGTTCTAGAGTGAGTGGAGTTTGTACGATCTCCACCTGTTCTACAGAGTGGGTGGAGTTTGTGTGATCTCCCCCTGTTCTACAGAGTGAGTGGAGTTTGTATGATCTCCACCTGTTCTACAGAGTGAGTGGAGTTTGTGTGATCTCCCCCTGTTCTACAGAGTGAGTGAGTGGAGTTTGTGTGATCTCCCCCTGTTCTACAGAGTGAGTGGAGTTTGTGTGATCTCCCCCTGTTCTACAGAGTGAGTGGAGTTTGTGTGATCTTCCCCTGTTCTACAGAGTGAGTGGAGTTTGTGTGATCTCCCCCTGTTCTACAGAGTGAGTGTGAGTGGAGTTTGTGTGATCTCCCCCTGTTCTACAGAGTGAGTGAGTGGAGTTTGTGTGATCTCCCCCTGTTCTACAGAGTGAGTGAGTGGAGTTTGTGTGATCTCCCCCTGTTCTACAGAGTGAGTGGAGTTTGTGTGATCTCCCCCTGTTCTACAGAGTGAGTGGAGTTTGTGTGATCTCCCCCTGTTCTACAGAGTGGAGTTTGTGTGATCTCCCCCTGTTCTAGAGTGAGTGGAGTTTGTATGATCTCCCCCTGTTCTACAGAGTGAGTGGAGTTTGTATGATCTCCCCCTGTTCTACAGAGTGAGTGAGTGGAGTTTGTGTGATCTCCCCCTGTTCTACAGAGTGAGTGAGTGGAGTTTGTGTGATCTCCCCCTGTTCTACAGAGTGAGTGGAGTTTGTGTGATCTCCCCCTGTTCTACAGAGTGAGTGAGTGGAGTTTGTGTGATCTCCCCCTGTTCTACAGAGTGAGTGAGTGGAGTTTGTGTGATCTCCCCCTGTTCTACAGAGTGAGTGGAGTTTGTGTGATCTCCCCCTGTTCTACAGAGTGAGTGGAGTTTGTACGATCTCCCCCTGTTCTACAGAGTCAGTGGAGTTTGTGTGATCTCCTGTTTTACAGAGTGAGTGGAGTTTGTGTGATCTCCCCCTGTACTACAGAGTGAGTGGAGTTTGTGTGATCTCCCCCTGTTCTACAGAGTGAGTGGAGTTTGTATGATCTCCCCCTGTTCTACAGAGTGAGTGGAGTTTGTGTGATCTCCCCCTGTTCTACAGAGTGAGTGGAGTTTGTATGATCTCCCCCTGTTCTACAGAGTGAGTGGAGTTTGTGTGATCTCCCCCTGTTCTACAGAGTGAGTGGAGTTTGTGTGATCTCCCCCTGTTCTACAGAGTGAGTGGAGTTTTTATGATCTCCCCCTGTTCTACAGAGTGAGTGGAGTTTGTGTGATCTCCCCCTGTTCTACAGAGTGAGTGGAGTTTGTATGATCTCCCCCTGTTCTACAGAGTGAGTGGAGTTTGTGTGATCTCCCCCTGTTCTACAGAGTGAGTGGAGTTTGTATGATCTCCCCCTGTTCTACAGAGTGAGTGGAGTTTGTGTGATCTCCCCCTGTTCTACAGAGTGAGTGGAGTTTGTGTGATCTCCCCCTGTTCTACAGAGTGAGTGGAGTTTGTATGATCTCCCCCTGTTCTACAGAGTGAGTGGAGTTTGTATGATCTCCACCTGTTCTACAGAGTGAGTGGAGTTTGTGTGATCTCCCCCTGTTCTACAGAGTGAGTGGAGTTTGTATGATCTCCCCCTGTTCTACAGAGTGAGTGGAGTTTGTGTGATCTCCCCCTGTTCTACAGAGTGAGTGGAGTTTGTGTGATCTCCCCCTGTTCTACAGAGTGAGTGGAGTTTGTATGATCTCCCCCTGTTCTATAGAGTGAGTGAGTGGAGTTTGTGTGATCTCCCCCTGTTCTACAGAGTGAGTGGAGTTTGTATGATCTCCCCCTGTTCTACAGAGTGAGTGGAGTATGTGTGATCTCCCCCTGTTCTACAGAGTGAGTGGAGTTTGTGTGATCTCCCCCTGTTCTACAGTGTGAGTGGAGTTTGTGTGATCTCCACCTGTTCTACAGAGTGAGTGAGTCTATGGGTATGTGGAGGGAAAAAACCGGAGGAGCCGGAGAAAAATCCACGCGGTGACCACGGGGAGAGAGAGAGAGACTCCAAATATACAGCAGCAGCAGGCGTCAGGGTCGGGATCGAACCCCCACGACCTCCTGTATGCCAGGCGAGGGAGTTAACATCTCCTCACCACGCTGACGCCCTCACCACCAACCCCCCCCCACTCACCCCTCCCTCACCTGCCCCCCCCCCCCCACCCAACCTCTCTCCATCCCTTCCAGGTGCTTCTCCAGTATTGGCAAGGTGCACGATGCGTTTGTGTCGTACCGCCAGTCGATAGACAAGTCGGAGGCGAGCGCCGACACATGGTGTTCCATCGGGTGAGTGTGTGAGTGAGTGTGTGAGAGTGTGTGGGTGAGAGTGTGTGGGTGAGAGTGTGTGGGTGAGTGTGTGGGTGAGAGTGTGGGTGAGAGTGTGAGTGGGTGAGTGTGTGGGTGAGTGTGTGGGTGAGAGTGTGGGTGAGAGTGTGAGTGGGTGAGTGTGTGGGTGAGTGTGTGGGTGAGAGTGTGGGTGAGTGTGAGTGGGTGAGAGTGTGTGGGTGAGAGTGTGTGGGTGAGAGTGTGGGTGAGAGTGTGAGTGGGTGAGTGTGTGGGTGAGTGTGTGGGTGAGAGTGTGGGTGAGTGTGAGTGGGTGAGAGTGTGTGGGTGAGAGTGTGTGGGTGAGAGTGTGGGTGAGAGTGTGGGTGAGAGTGTGAGTGGGTGAGTGTGAGTGGGTGAGAGGGGTGAGTGAGTGTGTGAGTGAGTGGGTGAGAGTGTGTGGGTGAGAGTGTGTGGGTGAGAGTGTGTGGGTGAGTGTGAGTGGGTGAGTGTGCGTGGGTGAGTGTGAGTGTGGGTGAGTGTGTGAGAGTGAGTGTGAGAGAGTGAGTGGGTGAGTGTGTGTGGGTGAGTGTACTACGCTCACACACACACACACACGGTACACCCACACACACTTGCTACGCTCACACACGCTACATTCACACGCTATGCTCACACCCACTCGCTATACCCACACCCACTCGCTATACCCACACTACACACTCGCTACACACACACTCGCTACACCCACACACACACTACACACACAACCGTAACACCCACACACACATAATTGCTACACACACACACTCGCTACGCTCACAAACACTTGCGACGCTCACACACACGCTGTACCTACACACACTCGCCACGGTCACACACACTCACCACGCTCACACACACACGCGCCACGCTCACACACAGCGCTACGCTCACACACACACTACGCTCACACACTCGCTACGCTCACACACACACTTGCCACGCTCACACACACACAGCGCTACGCTCACACACACACTATGCTCACACACACTCGCTACGCTCACACACACTCGCTACGCTCACACACACAGCGCTACGTTCACACACACACACGCACGCGCCACACTCACACACACACTCGCCGCGCTCACACACACACACACTCGCTACGCTCACACACACGCACTATGCTCACACGCACACACCACGCTCACACACACACACACTCGCCACGCTCACGCACACGCGCTACGCTCACACACACACAGCGCTACGCTCACACACACACCACGCTCACACACACACACCACGCTCACACACACACACTCGCCACGCTCACGCACACGCGCTACGCTCACACACACACTACGCTCACACACACACACCACGCTCACACACACCACGCTCACACACACACACGCGCTACGCTCACACACACGCGCTACGCTCACACACTACGCTCACACACACACCACGCTCACACACACCACGCTCACACACACCACGCTCACGCTCACACACACACTACGCTCACACACACACACACCACGCTCACACACACCACGCTCACACACACACACGCGCTACGCTCACACACACACCATGCTCACACACACACACGCGCTACGCTCACACACACACACTACGCTCACACACTACGCTCACACACACACTACGCTCACGCTCACACACACCACGCTCACACACACCACGCTCACACACACACACTACGCTCACGCTCACACACACTACGCTCACACACACACTACGCTCACACACACACACACCACGCTCACACACACCACGCTCACACACACACACGCGCTACGCTCACACACACACACTACGCTCACACACTACGCTCACACACACACCACGCTCACACACACCACGCTCACACACACACACGCTCACACACACACACACCATGCTCACACACACACACACTACGCTCACACACACACCACGCTCACACACACACACGCGCTATGCTCACACCACACGCGCTACGCTCACACACACACTACGCTCACACACACACCACGCTCACACACACCACGCTCACACACACACACGCGCTACGCTCACACACACACACTCACACACACACACACACTACGCTCACACACACACACACACTTGCCACGCTCACACACACACACACACACACCACACTCACACACACCACGCTCACACACACACACTCACACACACACACACCACACTCACACACACACACTACGCTATGCTCACACACACACACACACCACACACACACACACACTACGCTCACACACACACACTACGCTATGCTCACACACACGCTCACACACACACACACACTACGCTCACACACACACACACACTACGCTATGCTCACACACACGCTCACACACACACACACACTACGCTCACACACACACACACACGCTATGCTCACACACACACGCTATGCTCACACACACACACACACGCTATGCTCACACACACACACACACGCTATGCTCACACACACACACACGCTATGCTCACACACACACACACACTACGCTATGCTCACACACACACACTACACTACGCTCACACACACACACTCGCTATGCTCACACACACACACACACCACGCTCACACACACTACGCTCACACACACACACGCTCACACACACACTCACACACACACACACCACACACACACTACACTATGCTCACACACACACACTACGCTATGCTCACACACACACACACTACGCTCACACACACACACACACCACGCTCACACACACACACACTACGCTCACACACACACGCTATGCTCACACACACACACTACACTATGCTCACACGCGCCGCCGCCGTGCGCATGCGCCCAGGGTGCTGTACCAGCAGCAGAACCAGCCGATGGACGCGCTGCAGGCGTACATCTGTGCCGTGCAGCTGGACCACGGCCACGCGGCAGCCTGGACGGACCTGGGCATCCTGTACGAGTCGTGCAGCCAGCCACACGACGCCCTCAAGTGCTACTGCAACGCCAACAAGAGCAAGGCCTGCGCAGACGGCGGCGCCCTCGGCCAGCGCATCAAACACCTGCAGGTGTGGGGGCGGGGGAGGGGGAGGGGGAGAGAGGGAGAGAGGGGGGGGAGGGGGGGAGGGGGAGAGGGGGAGAGGGGGAGAGGGGGAGAGAGGGGGAGAGGGGGTGAGTGGGGGGGGAGGGAGAGGGGGTGAGTGGGGGGGAGAGAGAGGGGGGGGAGGGAGAGAGGGGGAGAGAGAGGGGGAGTGAGGGGGTACAGGGGGAAAGTAGGGGGGGAGAAGTGGGGCGGGGGATAGAGAGTGGGGGAGGGGGGGATAGTGTGTACGTCTGCGCGTGTGTACGTCTGCGCGTGTGTACGTCTGCGCGTGTGTACGTCTGTGTACGTCTGCGCGTGTGTCTATATACATCTGTGTATGTGTATGTCTGTGCGTGCATCTGTGTGTATACATCTGTCTGTGTGGATACATCCATATGTGTACGTCTGTGTGTGTGTCGGTGTGTATACATCTGTCTGTGTGTATACATCCATATGTGTACGTCTGTGTGTGTGTCGGTGTGTATACATCTGCGTGTGTGTCTGTGTGCAAGGATTGGGTGGTGGTCGCGGGTTGCTGAGGAGATGGGAGTCTGCCTCAGTGGCCCGCGATTACAAATCTCTATTTAACTCCCATCAAAAAAGTAACCTGCAGCGCCACACCTATTACCATCATTAGGGGAAAAAACGGTGAACCAATCTCCGACCCCCAGGAACAGGTTTGCAGATTTACTGAGCATTTCTGCGAGGTCCTGGGGGAGGGGAAATCCTCAGCCAGGAAAGCATCGTGGCACAAAGTGGGGATGACCCTGCTGAGAATGCGGTGCCTCAAATATTGGAAGAAGAATCACCCCCTGTGAGTGGCTGGCTGAGGTATCGTCTGTTGAAGTACTGAAGGCGATCCGGAGACCAGAAAAGGCACCAGGCAGAGATGATCTCCCAAGCGAAATGCTGAGGGAGGGTGGCGTTTGTGCACAGACTGCCCTATATGACATCATAACAACAGTCTGGACCACTGGACGGGTTCTGCAGGATTGGAAGGATGCCCTGGTGGTCCCCCGCTTTAAGAAGGGCAACCACACAGACTGTAACAACTACAGGGGCATCTCACTCAGTGTGCCGGGAAAGGTCCTGGCAAGGATTATTCAACATCGCCTTGCCAGGCACGCTGAGGAGAGGCTTGCGGAGCCCCAATGCGGTTTCAGGAAAGGGCGGTCCTGCACAGATGCCATATTTCTGTCCGTCTGCTACAGCAGAGGTGTAGGGAAATTCAGCAAGACCTACATCTCTGCTTTATTGACCTGGTCAAGGCCTATGATACCATCAGTAGGCCTGGGCTCTGGGTTGTTCTTCGTGCTTTTGGAGTCCCTGACCCTCTGCTCACGATCATTAAGGACCTTCATGATGGTGAGCGGGCCCGGGTAAAACTACGTGGCCGGGAGTCAGAGCCATTCCCTGTACACCTTGGGGTGCGACAGGGATGTCCTCTGGCTCCCACATTATTTAACATCTATTTTGACCACGTAGTTCGTGAAGCCTTCAATAGCTGTACCGGGGGAATCTCCATTTGGTACAGATATAATGGGAGGCTGATCGATGCCCGGGTTCGGTCAAGGGAAGGCTCCCTATTGCTCAACCAAGTTACAGTGAGGGAAAAAAGTATTTGATCCCCTGCTGATTTTGCACGTTTACCCACTGACAAAGAAATGATCAGTCTATAATTTTAATGGTAGGTTTATTTGAACAGTGAGAGACAGAATAACAAGAAAATCCAAAAAAACGAATGTCAAAAATGTTATAAATTGATTTGCATTTAATGAGGGAAATGAGTATTTGACCCCCTCTCAATCAGAAAGATTTCTGGCTCCCAGGTGTCTTTTATACAGGTAACGAGCTGAGATTAGGAGCACACTCTTAAAGGGAGTGCTCCTAATCTCAGCTTGTTACCTGTATAAAAGACACCTGTCCACAGAAGCAATCAGATTCCAAACTCTCCACCATGGCCAAGACCAAAGAGCTCTCCAAGGATGTCAGGGACAAGATTGTAGACCTACACAAGGCTGGAATGGGCTACAAGACCATTGCCAAGCAGCTTGGTGAGAAGGTGACAACAGTTGGTGCGATTATTCGCAAATGGAAGAAACACAAAAAAACTGTCAATCTCCCTCCGCCTGGGGCTTCAAGCAAGATCTCACCTCGTGGAGTTGCAATGATCATGAGAAAGGTTGGGAATCAGCCCAGAACTACACGGGAGGATCTTGTCAATGATCTCAAGGCAGTTGGGACCATAGTCACCAAGAAAACAATTGGTAACACACTACGCCGTGAGGGACTGAAATCCTGCAGCGCCCGCAAGGTCCCCCTGCTCAAGAAAGCACATATACATGCCCGTCTGAAGTTTGCCAATGAACATCTGAATGATTCAGAGGACAACTGGGTAAAAGTGTTGTGGTCAGATGAGACCAAAATAGAGCTCTTTGGCATCAACTCAACTCGCCGTGTTTGGAGGAGGAATGCTGCCTATGACCCCAAGAACACCATCCCCACCGTAAAACATGGAGGTGGAGACATTGTGCTTTGGGGGTGTTTTTCTGCTAAGGGGACAGGACAACTTCACCGCATCAAAGGGACGATGGACGGGGCCATGTACCGTCAAATCTTGGGTGAGAACTTCCTTCCCTCAGCCAGGGCATTGAAAATGGGTCGTGGATGGGTATTCCAGCATGACAATGACCCAAAACACACGGCCAAGGTAACAAAGGAGTGGCTCAAGAAGAAGCACATTAAGGTCCTGGATTGACCTAGCCAGTCTCCAGACCTTAATCCCATAGAAAATCTGTGGAGGGAGCTGAAGGTTCGAGTTGCCAAACGTCAGCCTCAACCTTAATGACTTGGAGAAGATCTGCAAAGAGGAGGACAAAATCCCTCCTGAGATGTGTGCAAACCTGGTGGCCAACTACAGGAGGACGTGGAGCTGAGTGGACTTGCCGATGACTGGTACCAACGGTGTCAAGATCGGCCTCTGTGGAGGAGGCTCGTGAAGGATGCTACTGGGCAGTTGGAGGCAGTCGCCCTCCAACAACAACGGAGGGCGGAGGAGCGACGCTCACAACAACGAGCGGAGCGCCGGGTGGCTAAAGCACAGCAGGTTGGCACAGTAGGGGGCACAGGTGGTGCATCAGCCAGTCATCTCAGTCAGTCGACCCGTGGCACCTGGGTCTGCCCCGTGACCTCCTGCCAGCGGGCGTTCGACACTTCACGTGGCCTCAAGGTGCACATGGCCTGGCACAAGCGTGGTGGTGACGTCACCGCCACTTAGTGGCGAATGGCGGTTGTTGTTGTGTGTCTGTGTGTATACATCTGCGTGTGTGTGCGTGCATGTGTCTGTGTGTGTCCGTGTGTATACATCTGTGTGTGTGTGCGTGCATGTGTCTGTGTGTGTCCGTGTGTATACATCTGTGTGTGTGTGCGTGCATGTGTCTGTGTGTGTCCGTGTGTATACATCTGTGTGTGTGTGCGCCCCTCCCGCAGAGCCAGCTGTGCAGCCTGCCCCCCGGCGTGCTCGCCAGCAAGCCCAAGATGCTGCCCAGCATCGAGGAGGCGTGGAGCCTCCCCATCCCCGCGGAGCTCACGTCGCGGCAGGGATCAGCCTCCAGCACGCCACAGCAGGTGATACGCTCACACACATACACCACGCTACACACACACACCACGCTACACTCACACATACACACACCACAGCAGGTGATACGCTCACACACATACACCACGCTACACACACACACCACAGCAGGTGATACGCTCACACGCACACACATACACACACCACGCTACACTCACACATACACACACCACAGCAGGTGATACGCTCACACACACACACATACACACATACACCACGCTACACTCACATACACAAACGACGCTACGCTCACACACACACCACGCTACACTCACACATAAACACCACGCTACACTCACACACACCACGCTACACTCACACACGACGCTACACTCACACACACACCATGCTACGCTCACACACATACCACACACACCACACTACGCTCACACACACACCACGTTACACACACACACACCACGCTACACTCACACACACCACGCTACACTCACACACCCCACGCTACGCTCACACACCACAGCAGGTTATATGCTCACACTCTCCTCTACGCTCACACACACACTTCCGCGCGTGTATGTACACTCACTCACACGTGCGCATGCTTGTGTGCGTGTGGGGAGTGGTGGTGCAGCGGTTAGCGCTACGAACCCGGCGACCCGAATTCGGTTCCCGCTCACGGCCAACACCCAGTGAGGATTACTTTAACCCGTCCTGGGCCTCCCCTAGGTCGACTCGGCCTCAAACGAGTACCTGGTGCAGCGGTGTGTAGTGAACATCGCTAGCACTGGGGAGACAAAGGCGACCGGGTAGCGGCGCTGGCCGCCCACCCCCTCGTGTGCCACTGTGCCGACCTTCATAGACGCTGCTACTCGCTAGCAGCACTTGCTCCTACAGTCTGTCACAGGCTACACGGGGGACCTTTGTCTTGATCTCAGGCATTCAAGCCGGCGCAGGACGTGTTCGGCGGGCCCACGCAGGCCGCCCCTCCTCCTCCTCCTCCTCCGCAGCAGCAGCAGCAGCAGCAGCCCCTCCTCCCGCACCACGTGGCCATCGCCGGGGACGAGCTGCACAGCCCGGCCAAGATCCGCAAGAGTTCCTTCTCCTCCAAGGTGAGCGACGGCCTCCCTGCCTCACTCACTCCCTCCCCTCCCTCCCTCACTCACTCCCTCCCTCCCTCCCTCCCTCCCTTCCTTCCTTCCTTCCTCCCTCCCTCCCCTCCCTCCCTCCCCTCCCTCCCTCCCTCCCCTCCCTCCCTCCCTCCCCTCCCTCCCCCCTCCCTCCCCCCTCCCTCCCCCCCTCCCCTCCCTCCCCTCCCCCCCCTCCCCTCCCTCCCTCCCTCCCCCCTCCCTCCCTCCCCTCCCTCCCTCCCTCCCTCCCTCCCTCCCTCCCCTCCCCTCCCTCCCCTCCCTCCCCTCCCCTCCCTCCCCTCCCTCCCCCTCCCTCCCCTCCCCCCTCCCTCCCCCCCTCCCTCCCCCTCCCTCCCTCCCTCCCCTCCCTCCCTCCCCTCCCTCCCTCCTGCAGCTGGTTTGTAATTACTGATTTTGGGCCATTGGTGAAGAACTTTATAGCTCCCTCCTGCAGTCTACATACAGATTCTCACTCCACTCCCACGTGTGTGTCACTCCACCCACTGTGTGTGTGTCACTCCACCCCACGTGTGTGTCACTCCACCCACTGTGTGTGTGTCACTCCACCCCACGTGTGTGTCACTCCACCCCACGTGTGTGTCACTCCACCCCCCACGTGTGTGTCACTCCACCCCACGTGTGTGTCACTCCACCCCACGTGTGTCACTCCACCCCACGTGTGTGTCACTCCACCCCACGTGTGTGTCACTCCACCCTACGTGTGTGTCACTCCACCCACTGTGTGTGTCACTCCACCCTCCACGTGTGTGTCACTCTACCCCACGTGTGTGTCACTCCACCCACTGTGTGTGTCACTCCACCCCACGTGTGTGTCACTCCACCCCACGTGTGTGTCACTCCACCCTCCACGTGTGTGTCACTCCACCCCACGTGTGTGTCACTCTACCCCACGTGTGTGTCACTCCACCCACTGTGTGTGTCACTCCACCCCACGTGTGTGTCACTCCACCCCACGTGTGTGTCACTCCACCCTCCACGTGTGTGTCACTCCACCCCACGTGTGTGTCACTCCACCCCACGTGTGTGTCACTCCACCCTCCACGTGTGTGTCACTCCACCCCACGTGTGTGTCACTCCACCCCCATGTGTGTGTCACTCCACCCCACGTGTGTGTCACTCCACCCTCCACGTGTGTGTCACTCCACCCCACGTGTGTGTCACTCCACCCTCCACGTGTGTGTCACTCCACCCCACGTGTGTGTCACTCCACCCCACGTGTGTGTCACTCCACCCCACGTGTGTGTCACTCCACCCCACGTGTGTGTCACTCCACCCCACGTGTGTGTCACTCCACCCCACGTGTGTGTCACTCCACCCCACGTGTGTGTCACTCCACCCTCCACGTGTGTGTCACTCTACCCCACGTGTGTGTCACTCCACCCCCATGTGTGTGTCACTCCACCCCACGTGTGTGTCACTCTGTGCGTGTGGCAGCCCAACGCGGCGGAGGGCTGGGCGTCCCAGCATGCACCTCACCTCGCCCCCTCCCAGAATCCCTTGCAGCAGGAGCAGCTTGCGGTGGGGACGCTCACCACGCAGAAGCTGCAGGTGCCCGTGAGACGCGGCGTCCGTGGGGTCGTCGTGTCTGTGTTGTTTGGTCTTGTGTCGTGTCTGTGGTGTGTCTGTGTTGTCTTGTGGTGTGTCTGTCTTGTGTCTGTGTGGTCTTGTGGTCATGTCTGTGTTGTGTCTGTGTGGTCTTGTGGTGTGTCTGTGTGGTCTTGTGGTGTGTCTGTGTTGTTTGGTCTTGTGCTCGTGTCTGTGGTGTGCTCGTGTGTGTGGTCTTGTGGTGTGTCTGTGTTGTGTCTGTGTGGTCTTGTGGTGTGTCTGTGTTGTGTCTGTGGTCTTGTGGTCGTGTCTGTGTTGTGTCTGTGTGGTCTTGTGGTGTGTTTGTGTTGTGTCTGTGTGGTCTTGTGGTGTGTCTGTGTTGTGTCTGTGTGGTCTTGTGGTGTGTCTGTGTTGTGTCTGTGTGGTCTTGTGGTGTGTCTGTGTTGTGTCTGTGTGGTCTTGTGGTGTGTCTGTGTTGTGTCTGTGGTCTTGTGGTCGTGTCTGTGTTGTGTCTGTGTGGTCTTGTGGTGTGTTTGTGTTGTGTCTGTGTGGTCTTGTGGTGTGTCTGTGTTGTGTCTGTGTGGTCTTGTGGTGTGTCTGTTGTGTCTGTGTGGTCTTGTGGTGTGTCTGTGTTGTGTCTGTGTGGTATTGTGATGTGTATGTGTTGTGTCTGTGTGGTCTTGTGGTGTGTCTGTGTGCTCGTGTCTGTGTGGTCTTGTGATCGTGTCTGTGTGGTCTTGTGCTCGTGTCTGTGTTGTGTCTGTGTGGTCTTGTGATCGTGTCTGTGTGGTCTTGTGCTCGTGTCTGTGTTGTGTCTGTGTTGTGTCTGTGTTGTGTCTGTGTTGTTTGGTCTTGTGGTCGTGTCTGTGTGCCCGTGTCTGTGTGGTCTTGTGCTCATGTCTGTGTTGTGTCTGTGTCGCGTCTGTGTTGTGTTCGTGGTGTTGTGGATATGTATATAGGCTTGTGGTTGTGCTGTGGTTCTGTTGATAGGGCGCTGTTGTTGTTTTTGATAGCGGTTGTTGCAGTTGCCCCGTGCCTGTTGCTGATGGCGGTTGTTGTTGCTGCTGGCATTTGTTGTTGCTGCTGGCGGTTGTTGTTGCTGATGGCGGTTGTTGTTGCTGCTGGCGGTTGTTGTTGCTGATGGCGCTTGTTGTTGCTGATGGCGGTTGTTGTTGCTGATGGCGGTTGTTGTTGCTGATGGCGGTTGTTGTTGCTGATGGCGCTTGTTGTTGATGGCGGTTGTTGTTGCTGATGGCGGTTGTTGTTGCTGCTGGCGGTTGTTGTTGCTGATGGCGCTTGTTGCTGCTGATGGCGGTTGTTGTTGTTGATGGCGGTTGTTGTTGATGGCGATTGTAGTTGGTGATGGCGTTTGTTGTTGCTGATGGCGATTGTAGTTGGTGATGGCGTTTGTTGTTGCTGATGGCGGTTGTTGTTGATGGCGGTTGTTGTTGTTGATGGCGGTTGTTGCTGATTGCGGTTGTTGTTGCTGATGGCGGTTGTTGTTGTTGATGGCGGTTGTTGTTGCTGATGGCGGTTGTTGTTGCTGCTGGCGGTTGTTGTTGCTGATGGCGCTTGTTGCTGCTGATGGCGGTTGTTGTTGTTGATGGCGGTTGTTGTTGATGGCGATTGTAGTTGGTGATGGCGTTTGTTGTTGCTGATGGCGATTGTAGTTGGTGATGGCGTTTGTTGTTGCTGATGGCGGTTGTTGTTGATGGCGGTTGTTGTTGTTGATGGCGGTTGTTGCTGATCGCGGTTGTTGTTGCTGATGGCGGTTGTTGTTGTTGATGGCGGTTGTTGTTGCTGCTGGCATTTGTTGCTGATGGCGGTTGTTGTTGCTGCTGGCGGTTGTTGTTGCTGATGGCGGTTGTTGTTGCTGATGGCGGTTGTTGTTGCTGCTGGCGGTTGTTGTTGCTGCTGGCGGTTGTTGTTGCTGATGGCGCTTGTTGTTGCTGATGGCGGTTGTTGTTGCTGATGGCGGTTGTTGTTGTTGATGGCGGTTGTTGTTGCTGATGGCGCTTGTTGCTGCTGATGGCGGTTGTTGTTGTTGATGGCGGTTGTTGTTGATGGCGATTGTAGTTGGTGATGGCGTTTGTTGTTGCTGATGGCGATTGTAGTTGGTGATGGCGTTTGTTGTTGCTGATGGCGGTTGTTGTTGATGGCGGTTGTTGTTGTTGATGGCGGTTGTTGCTGATCGCGGTTGTTGTTGCTGATGGCGGTTGTTGTTGTTGATGGCGGTTGTTGTTGCTGATGGCGGTTGTTGTTGCTGCTGGCGGTTGTTGTTGCTGATGGCGCTTGTTGCTGCTGATGGCGGTTGTTGTTGTTGATGGCGGTTGTTGTTGCTGATGGCGCTTGTTGCTGCTGATGGCGGTTGTTGTTGTTGATGGCGGTTGTTGTTGATGGCGATTGTAGTTGGTGATGGCGTTTGTTGTTGCTGATGGCGATTGTAGTTGGTGATGGCGTTTGTTGTTGCTGATGGCGGTTGTTGTTGATGGCGGTTGTTGTTGTTGATGGCGGTTGTTGCTGATCGCGGTTGTTGCTGATGGCGGTTGTTGTTGTTGATGGCGGTTGTTGTTGCTGATGGCGGTTGTTGTTGCTGCTGGCGGTTGTTGTTGCTGATGGCGCTTGTTGCTGCTGATGGCGGTTGTTGTTGTTGATGGCGGTTGTTGTTGATGGCGATTGTAGTTGGTGATGGCGTTTGTTGTTGCTGATGGCGATTGTAGTTGGTGATGGCGTTTGTTGTTGCTGATGGCGGTTGTTGTTGATGGCGGTTGTTGTTGTTGATGGCGGTTGTTGCTGATCGCGGTTGTTGTTGCTGATGGCGGTTGTTGTTGTTGATGGCGGTTGTTGTTGCTGCTGGCATTTGTTGTTGCTGATGGCGGTTGTTGTTGCTGATGGCGGTTGTTGTTGCTGCTGGCGGTTGTTGTTGCTGATGGCGGTTGTTGTTGCTGATGGCGGTTGTTGTTGCTGCTGGCGGTTGTTGTTGCTGATGGCGCTTGTTGTTGCTGATGGCGGTTGTTGTTGCTGATGGCGGTTGTTGTTGTTAATGGCGGTTGTTGTTGCTGATGGCGCTTGTTGTTGTTGATGGCGGTTGTTGTTGCTGATGGCGGTTGTTGTTGCTGCTGGCGGTTGTTGTTGCTGATGGCGCTTGTTGCTGCTGATGGCGGTTGTTGTTGATGGCGATTGTAGTTGGTGATGGCGTTTGTTGTTGCTGATGGCGATTGTAGTTGGTGATGGCGTTTGTTGTTGCTGATGGCGGTTGTTGTTGATGGCGGTTGTTGTTGTTGATGGCGGTTGTTGCTGATCGCGGTTGTTGTTGCTGATGGCGGTTGTTGTTGTTAATGGCGGTTGTTGCTGCTGGCGCTTGTTGCTGCTGATGGCGGTTGTTGTTGTTGATGGCGGTTGTTGTTGCTGCTTGTTGTTGTTGATGGCGGTTGTTGTTGCTGCTGGCGGTTGTTGTTGTTGATGGCGGTTGTTGTTGTTGATGGCGATTGTAGTTGGTGATGGCGTTTGTTGTTGCTGATGGCGATTGTAGTTGGTGATGGCGGTTGTTGTTGCTGATGGCGCTTGTTGTTGTTGATGGCGGTTGTTGTTGTTGATGGCGGTTGTTGCTGATCGCGGTTGTTGTTGCTGATGGCGGTTGTTGTTTATTAATGGCGGTTGTTGCTGCTGGCGCTTGTTGCTGCTGATGGCGGTTGTTGTTGTTGATGGCGGTTGTTGTTGCTGCTGGCGCTTGTTGTTGTTGATGGCGGTTGTTGTTGCTGCTGGCGGTTGTTGTTGTTGATGGCGGTTGTTGTTGTTGATGGCGGTTGTTGTTGCTGCTGGCGCTTGTTGCTGCTGATGGCGGTTGTTGTTGTTGATGGCGGTTGTTGTTGCTGCTGGCGCTTGTTGTTGTTGATGGCGGTTGTTGTTGCTGCTGGCGCTTGTTGCTGCTGATGGCGGTTGTTGTTGTTGATGGCGGTTGTTGTTGATGGCGATTGTAGTTGGTGATGGCGTTTGTTGTTGCTGATGGCGATTGTAGTTGGTGATGGCGTTTGTTGTTGCTGATGGCGGTTGTTGTTGATGGCGGTTGTTGTTGTTGATGGCGGTTGTTGCTGATGGCGGTTGTTGTTGCTGATGGCGATTGTTGTTGTTGATGGCGGTTGTTGTTGCTGATGGCGATTGTAGTTGGTGATGGCGATTGTTGTTGATGGCGATTGTTGTTGTTGTTGATGGCGGTTGTTGTTGTTGATGGCGGTTGTTGTTGTTGTTGATGGCGGTTGTTGTTGATGGCGGTTGTTGTTGCTGATGGCGGTTGTTGTTGATGGCGGTTGTTGTTGTTGATGGCGGTTGTTGCTGATGGCGGTTGTTGTTGCTGATGGCGATTGTTGTTGTTGATGGCGGTTGTTGTTGCTGATGGCGATTGTAGTTGGTGATGGCGATTGTTGTTGATGGCGATTGTTGTTGTTGTTGATGACGATTGTTGTTGATGGCGGTTGTTGTTGTTGATGGCGGTTGTTGTTGTTGATGGCGGTTGTTGTTGATGGCGGTTGTTGTTGCGGTCGCCCCGTGTGTTGTTGCCTTCCCAGCTGCTGGAGCAGCTCCGAGCCAACCGCTTGACCCTGACGCTGCCCCAGCTGCAGCTGCTGGATCAGCTGGAGCACCAGGCCAGGGTGGCATCTCAGCAGCACCAGGTGCCGGCCTCAACCACGCAGACCCCTCCCCACCCGCCTCCCTCCCCCCGGCCTCGCCCCGCACACGGCACGGCCACACCACTCTGGGGTAGCGGCCACAACACTGGGGTAGTGGCCACAACACTCTGGGAGAGGGGGGGTGGCCACAACTCCCCGGCCCCACCGCAGCGAGTCTCCGAGCTGCAGCGAGCGACGTTGACTGCCTACGGCGATTTTGGACGTCTCCCGTGGCTTTTTCGGTGAACGGTGGCGCCCGACGCACGGTCAGAACGGCGTCGTTTCGGCGTCGTTTCGGCGTCGTTTCGGCGTCGTTTCGGCGTCTGACGCGTCGCAGCCGGGGACGGCTCGGCCACGCCCCTCGGCGTTGGTTCGTGGCACGCCACGAGCCGCACCGCCGGCGCCGAACGCTCCAAATTCCGACGCGGACACCCCGCGTGTGTGTGTCTAACAAGGGTTTACAACACACACACACACACCTAGCTACACGTGTGTGTGTGTGTGTCTAACAAGGGTTTACAACACACACACACAGCTAGCTACACGTGTGTGTGTGTGTGTGTCGGGCTAACAAGGGTTTACAACACACACACACACCTAGCAACCTGTGTGTGTGTGTGACTAACAAGGGTTTACGACACACACACACACACCTAGCTACACGTGTGTGTGTCTAACAAGGGTTTACAACACACACACACACCTAGCTACACGTGTGTGTGTCTAACAAGGGTTTACAACACACACACACACATAGCTACACGTGTGTGTGTCTAACAAGGGTTTACAACACACACACACACCTAGCTACACGTGTGTGTGTCTAACAAGGGTTTACAACACACACACACACCTAGCTACACGTGTGTGTGTGTGTGTGTCTAACAAGGGTTTACAACACACACACACACCTAGCTACACGTGTGTGTGTCTAACAAGGGTTTACAACACACACACACACACCTAGCTACACGTGTGTGTGTCTAACAAGGGTTTACAACACACACACACACCTAGCTACACGTGTGTGTGTCTAACAAGGGTTTACAACACACACACACACCTAGCTACACGTGTGTGTGTCTAACAAGGGTTTACAACACACACACACACCTAGCTACACGTGTGTGTGTCTAACAAGGGTTTACAACACACACACACACACGTAGCTACACGTGTGTGTGTCTAACAAGGGTTTACAACACACACACACACCTAGCTACACGTGTGTGTGTCTAACAAGGGTTTACAACACACACACACACACCTAGCTACACGTGCGTGTGTCTAACAAGGGTTTACAACACACACACACACACCTAGCTACACGTGCGTGTGTGTGACTAACAAGGGTTTACAACACACACACACACACACCTAGCTACACGTGCGTGTGTCTAACAAGGGTTTACAACACACACACACACACCTAGCTACACGTGTGTGTGTGTGACTAACAAGGGTTTACAACACACACACACACCTAGCTACACGTGTGTGTGTCTAACAAGGGTTTACAACACACACACACACCTAGCTACACGTGTGTGTGTCTAACAAGGGTTTACAACACACACACACACCTAGCTACACGTGTGTGTGTCTAACAAGGGTTTACAACACACACACACACCTAGCTACACGTGCGTGTGTCTAACAAGGGTTTACAACACACACACACACCTAGCTACACGTGCGTGTGTCTAACAAGGGTTTACAACACACACACACACACCTAGCTACACGTGTGTGTGTGTGACTAACAAGGGTTTACGACACACACACACACACACCCCTAGCTACACGTGTGTGTGTGTGACTAACAAGGGTTTACGACACAAACACACACACCCCTAGCTACTTGTGTGTGTGTGTGTGACTAACAAGGGTTTACGACACACACACACACACCTAGCTACACGTGTGTGTGTGTGTCTAACAAGGGTTTACGACACACACACACACATACCTAGCTACGTGTGTGTGTGTCTAACAAGGGTTTACAACACACACACACACACCTAGCTACACGTGTGTGTGTGTGTCTAACAAGGGTTTACGACACACACACACACACACAGCTAGCTACACGTGTGTGTGTGACTAACAAGGGTTTACGACACACACACACACCTAGCTACACGTGTGTGTGACTAACAAGGGTTTATGACACACACACACACACCTAGCTACACGTGTGTGTGTGTGTGACTAACAAGGGTTTACGACACACACACACACACCTAGCTACGTGTGTGTGTGTGTGTGTCTAACAAGGGTTTACGACACACACACACAGCTAGCTACCCGTGTGTGTGTCTAACAAGGGTTTATGACACACACACACACACACAGCTAGCTACACGTGTGTGTGTCTAACAAGGGTTTACAACACACACACACAGCTAGCTACACGTGTGTGTGTGACTAACAAGGGTTTACGACACACACACACACACACAGCTAGCTACACGTGTGTGTGTGACTAACAAGGGTTTACGACACACACACACACACAGCTAGCTACACGTGTGTGTGTGTGTGACTAACAAGGGTTTACGACACACACACACCTAGCTACACGTGTGTGTGTCTAACAAGGGTTTACGACACACACACACAGCTAGCTACACGTGTGTGTGTGTGTGTTTAATAAAAACCGGACCACACCTGTCCCCTACCCCCCCCCCACAGACGAGGCAGTCCGTGGTGATGCCCCCTCTGGGCCCTGCCACAGGCCCCCAGGGCCTCGCCAACGGGCCGGGCCACCCGCCGGGACGCCCCCCTACCCCCCGGGCGGCGCCGTCCGACGCCCTCAACAACGCCGCCGGCGGCTGCGGCGCCGCCTCCTCCTCCTCCTCCTCCCCCGGCGGCGCCGTCTCTCCGACGCGGCCGCCCCACCACAGCGCCGCCGCCTCCCAGCAGCAGCAGCAGCAGCAGCCCGGCGTGGCGGCCGCCCGCTCCGCCACCGATCGCCCGCGGGCACCGGCGCCACCGCTGTCCAACGGTCCCCACGCCGGCGCCGGCAGCAATAATTTGGTGCCGCACCACAGCCAGCACAAGCAGCAGCAGCAGCAGCAGCACGGCGGTGGAGGAGGAGGAGGAGGAGGGGGAGTCCCGGCGTCGCCAGGGACTGCGGGAGCCAGCAGCCTTCATGTGCCTTACCGCTCTCATCACCTACTACTACCTCAGCCCGGCACGGGCGAGCACTGGCAAAACTCAGTCAACTCCTCTCAGGTACGCTGTGGTGGGTGGGTGGGTGGGTGGTGGGGGGCACGGCTCGGTTGTTTGGTTGGTGGGGGGGGGTGGTTGTGGGGGATTGGTGGGGGGAGTGGGGCTGGTAAGATGCACACCTGCTCGCGTACGCGCACACGTGGCCTCTAACAGGCTGTAGGGGCAAGTGCTGTGAGTAGCGAGTAGCACCTATAGACACACAGACAAAGGTCCCCCGTGTAGCCTCTAGCAGGCTGTAGGGGCAAGTGCTGTGAGTAGCGAGCAGCAGCAGCTGTGAAGGCTACCGGCACTGTGGCACACGAGGGGGTGGGTGGCCAGCACCACGCCCGGCCGCCTTTGTCTCCCCAGTAGCGATGTTGACTACACACCGCTACACCAAGTACTCAGTTGAGGCTGAGTCGACCTAGGGGAGGCCCAGGACCGGTTCAGATAATCGTCACTGGTAGTGTTGGCCTTGAGCGGGAATCGAACTGGGGTCGCCGAATTCGTAGCTCAGCGTAGCGCTAATCGCTACACCACCGCTCCGCACACACACAAACAACAACAACCGCCATTCGCCACTAAGTGGCGGTGACGTCACCACGACGCTTGTGCCAGGCTATGTGCACCTTGAGGCCACGTGAAGTGTCGAACGCCCGCTGGCAGGAGGTCACTGGGCAGACCCAGGTGCCACGGGTCGACTGACTGAGATGACTGGCTGATGCACCACCTGTGCCCCCTACTGTGCCAACCTGCTGTGCTTTAGCCACCCGGCGCTCCGCTCGTTGTTCTGAGCGTCGCTCCTCCGCCCTCCGTTGTTGTTGGAGGGCGACTGCCTCCAACTGCCCAGTAGCATCCTTCACGAGCCTCCTCCACAGAGGCCGATCTTGACACCGCTGGTACCAGTCATCGGCAAGTCCACTCAGCTCCACGTCCTCCTGTACCACATCACTCCATCTCTTCTCTAGCCCGTGCCGCGCCCGCTTAGCCCCCTCAATCCGACCAAACAAAAGCTGTTTCGGCATGCGGTGGCTGGGCATGCGGGCTACATGACCCAGCCATCGCAGCCTTGCCTGCCGGAGGAGCTCACCGATGGGACCCTGCCCAGATGTTTCAAGGATTTGTGAGCTCCTCACACAATCCAGTCTGGTTAAACCCAGGATGGATCGTAGGCAGGCCAGCCTAAATGTTTCTAACCGGCGAAGATGTTCCATTAGGGGGGTCCACGTTTCGCAAGCGTAGAGAAGGGAGGGAATGACCGTGGCCGAGAAGACCTGAAGCTTAGTGCGGAGCGACAGACCAGGTAGCTTCCACACAGCGTTACGCAACCGATGAAAAAGATATTGCCGCTCGACTGATTCGGAGTGAGACCTCTGCTCTTAAACTGGAGCCAGTCATAAGCACACTGCCCAGGTATGGGAAACTCTCCACTCTCTTCACAACTGTCCCATCACCGATTGGGAGTTGTGGGGGTGGAGTGTCCGATGGTACAAAATACCCAGGCAGGTGCTTAGTTTTGGTGGGGCTGATGGTAAGGCCCCACCTCTTAGTGGCACGCTCCAGTCTCAGCAGCAGCGTCTCCAACTCCTCCTCTGACTGAGCAGCTATTACCAAATCATCAGCATACATAACGTGGTTGAGCAATAGGGAGCCATCCCTTGACCGCACCCGGGCATCGATTAGCCTCCCATTATATCTGTACCATATGGAGATTCCCCCGGTACAGCTATTGAAGGCTTCACGAACTACGTGGTCAAAATAGATGTTAAATAATGTGGGAGCCAGAGGACATCCCTGTCGCACCCCAAGGTGTACAGGGAATGGCTCTGACTCCCGGCCACGTAGTTTTACCCGGGCCCGCTCACCATCATGAAGGTCCTTAATGATCGTGAGCAGAGGGTCAGGTACTCCAAAAGCACGAAGAACGACCCAGAGCCCAGGCCTACTGATGGTATCATAGGCCTTGACCAGGTCAATAAAGCAGAGATGTAGGTCTTGTTGGAATTCCCTAGACCTCTGCTGTAGCAGACGGACAGAAAATATGGCATCTGTGCAGGACCGCCCTTTCCTGAAACCGCATTGGGGCTCCGCAAGCCTCTCCTCAGCGTGCCTGGCAAGGCGATGCTGAATAATCCTTGCCAGAACCTTTCCCGGCACACTGAGGAGTGAGATGCCCCTGTAGTTGTTACAGTCTGTGCGGTCCCCCTTCTTAAAGAGGGGGACCACCAGGGCATCCTTCCAATCATGCGGAACCCGTCCAGTGGTCCAGACTGTTGTTATGATGTCATATAGGGCAGTCTGTGCACAAACGCCACCCTCCCTCAGCATTTCGCTTGGGAGATCATCTCTGCCCGCTGCCTTTCCTGGTCTCAGAATCCGGATCGCCTTCAATACTTCCTCAGCAGATGGCACCTCAGCCAGCCACTCACAGGGGGTGACTTCTTCCAATATTTGAGGCACCGCAGCCTCAGCAGGGTCATCCTCACTTTGTGCCACGATGTTTTCCTGGCTGAGGGATTTTCCCTCCCCCAGGACCTCACAGAAATGCTCAGCAAATCTGCGAACCTGTTCCTGGGGGTCGGAGATTGGATCACCGTTTTTTCCCCTAATGATGGTAATAGGTGTGGCGCTGTAGGTTACTTTTTTGATGGAGTTAAATAGAGATTTGTGATCACGGGCCACTGAGACAGACTCCATCTCCTCAGCAACCCGCGACCACCACCCATCCTTGCAGCGCCTCACGGCTCTCCGAACCTCCGAGCGAAGGCTGCGGTAAGCCTCCTCATTCTCTGACGTGGGATTCTGTAGCCGATGACAGTGGGCCTGTCGCTTTTTCTCAACCATCCTGAACACCTCCTCTGTCAGCCAGGGTCTCTGGGGAGGTCTGGACCGCGTACCCAAAGCAGCCATTGCAGCTGCATGAGTCACAGTCCTAAACCTCGCCCATTTACCCTCGACATCAGGAGGAGGCGGGGACGATGCCAATCCCAGCCGCAAGCGATGATGAAATTCTCGCTTGCAACTTTCATCAGATAACTGAGACCAGGCCACTTTAGGTCGGAATGGGGTCCTGGGTGTACACCCACCACCGGAGTGGAAGAATGGCAGGCGCATCTTACAGATGACTAGTCGATGGTCAGAGGGCAGATCAGCTCCACGGTAGGTCCTGGTGTCAAGGACATGGGCTCGCATTCGCTGGTCCGTCACTATGTAGTCCAGCAGATGTTCTTGCTTGGACCCGGCATGCATCCATGATGTTGTGTGGATGCGCCGATGCCGGAACAGCGTGTTGGTAATTACAAGCCCATGGGCTGCACAAAAATCTAGCAGCCTCCTACCGTTGTTATTGAGCTGATCTGGCCCATGCCCTCCAATCACTCCAGACCAGGTGCCAGTATCATGACCAACTCGGGCATTGAAGTCACCCAACATGATGACTCTATCCCGAGGGGCCACTTTAGCCAGCACCTGTGACAGGAGGTCATAGAAGGCATCTGACTCATCGGCTTTGCCTGCATCCCTCCACGGATGTTCATCTTCGGTGGGGGCATAAGTAACCACGACCACCATTCCTCGCCTGACACACACACACACTGACACACACACACAACAACAACCGCCATTCGCCACTAAGTGGCGGTGACGTCACCACGACGCTTGTGCCAGGCTATGTGCACCCTGAGGCCACGTGAAGTGTCGAACGCCTGCTGGCAGGTCACGGGGCAGACCCAGGTGCCACGGGTCGACTGACTGAGATGACTGGCTGATGCACCACCTGTGCCCCCTACTGTGCCAACCTGCTGTGCTTTAGCCACCCGGCGCTCCGCTCGATGTTGTGAGCGTCGCTCCTCCGCCCTCCGTTGTGCGCGCACACACATCGACACACACATCGACACACACACATCGACACACACATCGACACACACGTACACACACACACGTACACACACATCGACACACACACATCGACACACACATCGACACACACACATCGACACACACATCGACACACACACATCGACACACACATCGACACACACGTACACACACATCGACACACACACATCGACACACACATCGACACACACACATCGACACACACATCGACACACACGTACACACACACACGTACACACACATCGACACACACACATCGACACACACATCGACACACACACATCGACACACACATCGACACACACGTACACACACACACGTACACACACATCGACACACACACATCGACACACACACGTACACACACACACGTACACACACATCGACACACACACATCGACACACACATCGACACACACATCGACACACACATCGACACACACACACGTACACACACACACACGTACACACACATTGACACACGTGTGTGCTACACGTCGGCTGCTGTGTCTGTCCCACCTTGCGCCGCTCTCGGCAGGTGCAGAACCGAGGGCCTCCGTTGCCGTCGAGCGGTCCGGACGGCGAATCGAGCAACAGGAAGTCCCCAGCCTCCTCCTCCTCCTGCTCCTCCTCCTCCTTGTCGTCGTCGTCGTCGTCGTCCGCAAACAGCGCCAGCAGCAACGGCGGCAGCGGCCTGACGATGCACGGCGGCGGCGTGAACGGTGACAGCAGGAGCCCCACGCAGCAGCAGCAGCAGCAGCCGTTGATCAGTTTGCACGCAGCCCGGCCCACTCCTCCTCCTCCTCCTCCTACCTCATGCCTCGGCCCGCCAGCCAGGCCCAGCGCAAGCCCGGGCCTGCACAATCACGTCCACCCAACGCCGTCGTCGGCGACGACGGCGGTGGCGGCGGTGCCGCGGCCCGGCCGGCACCCGCCGGTCGTCGTCACCAACGACTCCGCCGGCGCCGTTGCCGGTTGCCCGGCGGCGGTGGCGCCGTCGGGGGTTGCGGCGGCATCGCCGCCGTCGTCGTCGTCGCTGTCGCCGCCGTCGTCGCTGTCGTCCACCTCGTCGTCGCTGTCGCTGTTGAAGCCGCTCCCCGGACACAACGGGGAGGCGACGACGGCGACGACGGCGACGATGGCGACGACGGCGACGACGGCGACGATGGCGACCTGCTGCGGCGGCAGTGGTGCGGAGGCGGAGGGAGGGAGGCACCGCGCGCCGTCGCCCTCGCCGCTGGAGGCGCTCTCCATCCACTCGAGCGCCGCCGACGTCCTCAAGGCCTGCAAGTACGTACACCCACCCACCACCCACCCACCACCAACCCACCACCAACCCACCACCAACCCACACACCACCAACCCACCCACCACCAACCCACCACCCACCCACCACCACCAACCCACACACCACCCACCCACCACCAACCCACCCACCACCAACCCACCCACCATCCACCAACCCACCCACCATCCACCAACCCACCCACCCACCACCAACCCACCATCCACCAACCCACCCACCCACCACCAACCCACCATCCACCAACCCACCCACCCACCCACCACCAACCCACCATCCACCACCCACCTGTGTTCGTGTGCTTGCTTGTGTGCGGTAGTGCAGCGGTTAGCGCTACGCTGCACTACGAACCCGGCGACCTGAGTTCGATTCCCGCTCACGGCCATTACCAGTGACGATTATCTGAACCGGTCTTTGGGCCTCCCCTAGGTCGAGTGCGGTTTAACTGAGTACCTGGTGTGGCGGTGTGTAGTAAACATCGCTAGCACTGGGGAGACAAAGGCGGCCGGGCGTGGTGCTGGCCACCCATCCCCTCGTGTGTGCCACAGTGCCGGTAGCCTTCACAGGCGCTGCGACTCGCTACGAACCACACTCGCCCCGACAGTGTGTTAAGGCTATCTTCGTCTGTGTGTGTGTGTGTCTGTGCCTGTGTGTGTGTTTGTCTATGTCTGTGTATCTATCTATGTGTGTGTGTCTGTGTGTGTGTTTGTGTCTGTCTGTGTGTGTGTCTGGGTGTGTGTGTCTGTGTGTGTGTATCTGTGTGTGTCTGTGTGTCTATGTTTGTGTATGTGTGTGTCTGTGTGTGTCTGTGTGTGTCTGTGTGTCTATGTCTGTGTGTGTCTGTGTGTGTCTGTGTGTGTGTCTGTGTGTGTCTGTGTGTGTGTGTCTGTGTGTGTGTGTCTGTGTGTGTGTCTGTGCGTGTGTGCGTGTGTGTCTGTGTGTGTCTGTGTGTGTGTCTGTGTGTGTCTGTGTGTGTGTCTGTGTGTGTGTGTATCTATCTATGTGTGTGTGTCTGTGTGTGTGTCTGTGTGTGTGTCTATGTCTGTGTGTGTCTGTGTGTGTGTCTGTGTGTGTGTGTGTGTCTGTGTGTGTCTATGTCTGTGTGTGTCTGTGTGCGTCTGTGTGTGTGTCTGTGTGTGTCTGTGTGTGTCTATGTCTGTGTGTGTGTCTGTGTGTGTGTGTGTCTGTGTGTGTGTGTCTGTGTGTGTGTGTGTGTCTGTGTGTGTCTGTGTGTGTGTGTGCAGGCGACTGTCACGCAACGGGCAGTGGAGCGGCTCCTTGACGGAGTGGTGCCGTCCCCCTCGGCCCCCCCCGCCTCCCGAGCCCCCCCTGCAGCCTGACAAACTCCAGCCTCTCATCCCCAGCATCTACGTGAGAACGACTACCCACTCGCTCGCCCAGCCACTCATTCACTCGCCCAGCCACTCGTTCACTCGCCCAGCCACTCATTCACTCGCCCAGCCACTCGTTCACTCGCCCAGCCACTCGCCCACTCGCTCGCCCACCCACTCATTCACTCGCCCAGCCACTCGTTCACTCGCCCAGCCACTCGCCCACTCGCTCGCCCACCCACTCATTCACTCGCCCAGCCACTCGTTCACTCGCCCAGCCACTCGCCCACTCGCTCGCCCACCCACTCATTCACTCGCCCAGCCACTCGTTCACTCGCCCAGCCACTCGCCCACTCGCTCGCCCACCCACTCATTCACTCGCCCAGCCACTCGTTCACTTCGCCCAGCCACTCGCCCACCCACTCATTCACTCGCCCAGCCACTCGTTCACTCGCCCAGCCACTCGCCCACTCGCTCGCCCACCCACTCATTCACTCGCCCAGCCACTCGTTCACTCGCCCAGCCACTCGCCCACCCACTCATTCACTCGCCCAGCCACTCGTTCACTCGCCCAGCCACTCGCCCACCCACTCATTCACTCGCCCAGCCACTCGTTCACTCGCCCAGCCACTCGCCCACTCGCTCGCCCAGCCACTCATTCACTCGCCCAGCCACTCGTTCACTCGCCCACTCGCTCGCCCAGCCACTCATTCACTCGCCCAGCCACTCGTTCACTCGCCCAGCCACTCGCCCAGCTACTCGTTCACTCGCCCAGCCACTCGTTCACTCGCCCAGCCACTCGCCCAGCCACTCATTCACTCGCCCAGCCACTCGCCCAGCCACTCGTTCACTCGCTCACTCACTCGCTCGCCCAGCCACTCGCCCAGCCGCTCGCACGGCCACTCACTCACCCACTTGCTCTGCTCACCCACTTGACCAACTCAACGCACTCACTTGACCAGCCAATCACCCGCTCCACCAGCTACTCGCCCGCCCACCCAACCGCTCGTTCACTCGCTCAGCCACTCACCCAGCCACTCACCCACTCCACCAGCCACTCGCTCAACCAGCCAATTCACCTGCTTACCCACTCCACCAGCAGCTCACTCGCTTACCTAGCCACTCGCTTACCCACTGCACCATCTACTCACTCACACACTCAACCAGCCACTCACCTACTCACTGAACCAACCAGCCACTCGCTCACCCACTCACTTAATCAGCCACTCACTCACCCACTCACTTAATCAGCCACTCACCCGCTCACTCGCCCACCCACTCAACCAGCTACTCACTCGCAGGCACGCTCACTCAACCAGCCACTCACTCGCCCATCCCACTCAACCAACCACTCACTCGCCCATCCCACTCAACCAGCCACTCACTCGCCCATCCCACTCAACCAGCCACTCACCCGCCCATCCCACTCAACCAGCCACTCACCCGCCCATCCCACTCAACCAGCCACTCACCCGCTCACTCGCCCACCCACCCACTCCAGCTAACTCGCTCCCTGACGGCACTTGCCCCGGCGGTCTGCTGAGCCTACATGGGGCGGGGGGGCTCTTTGTCTTTGTGTGCAGCTGGAGAGCAAGCGTGACGCGTTCTCTCCCGCACTGCACCAGTTCTGCACCAACCCCAACACCCCCATCACCGTCATCCGCGGGCTGGCGGGCGCTCTCAAGCTGGGTACAAACGCGCTCGCTCACTCGCTCACTCTAACATTCGTGGAGTTACACACTTACGTGCGTGGTTGCTCGCGTACGTGCGTGCTTGCTTACATACGTGCGTGATTGCTCGCGTGCGTGATTGCTCACGTGCGTGCGTGATTGCTCGCGTGCGTGATTGCTCGTGAGCGTGCGTGATTGCTCGTGCGCGTGTGTGATTGCTCGTGTGCGTGTGTGATTGCTCGTGCGCGTGTGTGATTGCTCGTGTGCGTGTGTGATTGCTCGTGTGCGTGTGTGATTGCTCGTGTGCGTGTGTGATTGCTCGTGCGCGTGTGTGATTGCTCGCGTGCGTGTGTGATTGCTCGTGTGCGTGTGTGATTGCTCGTGAGCGTGTGTGATTGCTCGTGCGCGTGTGTGAGTGCTCGTGCGCGTGTGTGATTGCTCGCGTGCGTGTGTGATTGCTCGTGTGCGTGTGATTGCTCGTGTGCGTGTGTGATTGCTCGTGTGCGTGTGTGATTGCTCGTGTGCGTGTGTGATTGCTCGTGCGCGTGTGTGATTGCTCGCGTGCGTGTGTGATTGCTCGTGTGCGTGTGTGATTGTTCGTGTGCGTGTGTGATTGCTCGTGTGCGTGTGTGATTGCTCGTGCGCGTGTGTGATTGCTCGTGCGCGTGTGTGATTGCTCGCGTGCGTGTGTGATTGCTCGTGTGCGTGTGTGATTGCTCGTGTGCGTGTGTGATTGCTCGTGTGCGTGTGTGATTGCTCGTGCGCGTGTGTGATTGCTCGCGTGCGTGTGTGATTGCTCGTGTGCGTGTGTGATTGCTCGTGTGCGTGTGTGATTGCTCGTGCGCGTGTGTGATTGCTCGTGCGCGTGTGTGATTGCTCGCGTGCGTGTGTGATTGCTCGTGTGCGTGTGATTGCTCGTGTGCGTGTGTGATTGCTCGTGTGCGTGTGTGATTGCTCGTGCGCGTGTGTGATTGCTCGCGTGCGTGTGTGATTGCTCGTGTGCGTGTGTGATTGCTCGTGTGCGTGTGTGATTGCTCGTGTGCGTGTGTGATTGCTCGTGCGCGTGTGTGATTGCTCGCGTGCGTGTGTGATTGCTCGTGTGCGTGTGTGATTGCTCGTGTGCGTGTGTGATTGCTCGTGCGTGTGTGATTGCTCGCGTGCGTGTGTGATTGCTCGTGTGCGTGTGTGATTGCTCGTGTGCGTGTGTGATTGCTCGTGTGCGTGTGTGATTGCTCGTGCGTGTGCGTGATTACTTACGTGCGTGATTGCTCGTGTGCGTGCGTGATTGCTCACTTGTGTGCGTGATTGCTCGTGTGCGTGCGTGATTGCTCACGTGTGTGCGTGATTGCTCACGTGTGTGTGTGATTGCTCGCGTGCGTGTGTGATTGCTCGTGTGCGTGTGTGATTGCTCGTGCGTGTGCGTGATTACTTACGTGCGTGATTGCTCGTGTGCGTGCGTGATTGCTCACGTGTGTGCGTGATTGCTCACGTGTGTGTGTGATTGCTCGCGTGCGTGTGTGATTGCTCGTGTGCGTGTGTGATTGCTCGTGCGTGTGCGTGATTACTTACGTGCGTGATTGCTCGTGTGCGTGCGTGATTGCTCGTGTGCGTGATTGCTCGTCTGTGTGATTGCTCGTGTGCGTGCGTGATTGCTCGTGTGCGTGCGTGATTGCTCGTGTGCGTGCGTGATTGCTCACGTGTGTGCGTGATTGCTCACGTGTGTGCGTGATTGCTCACGTGCGTGTGTGATTGCTCACGTGTGTGTGTGATTGCTCGTGCGTGCGTGCTCGCAGACCTGGGCCTCTTCTCCACCAAGTCGCTGGTGGAGGCCAACTGCGAGCACACGGTGGAGGTGCGCACGCAGCTGCTGCAGCCGTCGGGAGAGAACTGGGACCCCACGGGCGCACGCAAGATCTGGCGCTGCGAGAGCAGCCGCTCCTACACCACCATCGCCAAATACGCGCAGTACCAGGCCTCCTCTTTCCAGGAGTCCCTGCGCGTGAGTGGCCTCGCGGCGGCGGCGACGGTGATGATGATGACGATGGTGATGATGATGATGACGATGGTGATGATGATGATGACGATGGTGATGATGATGACGACGATGGTGATGATGATGATGACGACGATGGTGATGATGATGACGACGATGGTGATGATGACGACGATGGTGATGATGATGACGATGACGACGATGGTGATGATGATGATGGTGACGATGATGATGGTGATGACGACGATGGTGATGATGATGGTGATGACGACGATGGTGATGACGATGATGACGACCATGGTGATGACGACAATGTTGATGATGATGGTGATGACGACGATGGTGATGATGACGACGATGGTGATGATGACGACGGTGGTGATGATGACGACGATGGTGATGATGACGACGATGGTGATGACGACCATGGTGATGACGACAATGTTGATGATGATGACGACGATGGTGATGACGACGATGGTGATGACGACGATGGTGATGACGACGGTGATGATGACGACGATGGTGATGATGACGACGATGGTGATGACGACCATGGTGATGACGACAATGTTGATGATGATGACGACAATGTTGATGATGATGACGACGATGGTGATGACGACGATGGTGATGACGACGATGGAGATGACGACGATGTTGATGACGACGATGGTGATGATGACAACGATGACAGCGACGATGACGACGGTGATGATGATGACGGCGACGATGACGGCGACAGTGACGACGGCGATGATGACGATGACAGTGATGATGATCGTGACAAATGATGACGATGTTGATGACGACGTTTACGAGGATAACGATGGTGACGACGATGATGTCATGTCGGCCACCCACCCCCTCGTGTGCCACAGTGGCTTCCTTACAGGTGGGCGTGCTCACCAACGGCAGCTTGCCCCGACAGTCTGTGAAAGGCCACCACGGTGATCTTGGTTGTCTCTGTGCTTCCGTCAGGAGGAGAATGAGAAGAGAAATTCTCAGCACAGGGAGCAGCACTCGGACAGTGACTCCAACTCGTCAGAAAGGTTCACAGCCTGCGCACGCACTCGCACACACACACTCGCACACACACACTCGCACACACACACTCGCACACACACTCACTCGCACACACACACACTCGCACACACTCACTCGCGCACACACACACTCGCACACACGCACTCGCACACACGCACTCACTCGCACACACACTCGCACACACACACTCGCACACACACACACTCGCACACACACTTGCACACACACACTCGCACACACACACACAGCCGGCACACACACTTGTGTCCGCACACACACACTCGCGTGTACGCGCACACACACACACTTGCACACAAACACACACAGCCAGCACACATTTGCATGCGCACACACACTTGCACACACACTTGCACACACACTTGCACACACACACAGCCGTCAAGCACATATGCAACAACAACAACCACCATTCGCCGCTAAGTGGCGGTGACATCCCACGGCGCTTATGCCAGGCTATGTGCATGTTGAGGCTATCACAAACAATAGCTCAATTAAGTGGCTTATCATGTGGAAATTTATAGCAGCCAAATACTCTAAGCGCACTTTTCTAAATTTGGAGGGCAAAACCGGAGGAGCCGGAGAAAAATCCAAGCAGCCACGGGGAGAGAGAAGAGAGACGGAGACTCCAAGTATAGAGTAGCAGCAGGTGTCGTCAGGGTCGTGATGGAACCAGCGACCTCCTGCATACCAGGCGAGGTAGTCAACATCTCATAGCCACCGTGATCATGATGAGAGAGAGAGAGACGCAGACTCCAAATATACAGCAGCAGGCATCGTCAGGGTCGGGATGGAACCCACGACCTCCTGCGTACCAGGCGAGGTAGTTAACATCTCATAGCCACCGTGATCATGATGAGAGAGAGACGCAGACTCCAAGTATACAGCAGCAGGCATCGTCAGGGTCGGGATGGAACCCACGACCTCCTGCGTACCAGGCGAGGTAGTCAACATCTCATAGCCACCGTGATCATGATGAGAGAGAGAGACGCAGACTCCAAATATACAGCAGCAGCAGGCATCGTCAGGGTCGGGATGGAACCCACGACCTCCTGCGTACCAGGCGAGGTAGTTAACATCTCATAGCCACCGTGATCATGATGAGAGAGACGCAGACTCCAAATATACAGCAGCAGGCATCGTCACCGTCGGGATGGAACCCACGACCTCCTGCGTACCAGGCGAGGTAGTTAACATCTCGTCACCACGGCACCTCTCTCTCCGCGCTCCCCCCTCTCGCTCGACCCCCTCCCTCCCCACCTCCCTTCTCCCCCGCACTGCCCCCCCTACCCTTCCTCACAGCAGCGCTCGGAGGAAACAGAGGGGCCCCTTCAAGACCATCAAGTTTGGGACCAACATCGACCTGTCAGACGAGAAGAAGTGAGTGGTGGACGAGGCGAGCGTGGGCGTGAGTGGGTGAGCTGTGTGGGTGAGTGAGCTGGGTGAGTGAGCTTCCCAACATCGGAAGGAACAGAACGTTCCAAGACGGCCGCATCTGAAAGCGCCGCGCGATGCGAGGGATGCTCACCGGAGTGTCACGTGACGATGGTTTTATAGCTTACTGACGAGGCGGACAACATATTCTTTGGGTCTTCGGTAAAGTCACGTAGATAGGGCATGCTTTCCTGATGACGACCGCTTGTGTTGCGATCGAAAGGTCGTAGTTTTTTGTTATTTTCTTTGACTTGACTGAAAGACCCTAAGGATATGAATCCCTGCAGTGACGAAAGCCTCAAGTCAAGAGGTGGACAACGTTAAAGTACCTCGCCCCGCCCCCCAGGTGGAAGACGCAGCTGCAGGAGCTGACCAAGCTGCCGGCGTTCCTGCGCGTGGTGTCGGCGGGCAACATGCTGAGTCACGTGGGGCACACCATCCTGGGCATGAACACGGTGCAGCTCTACATGAAGGTGCCAGGCAGCCGCACGCCAGGTACGCACGCACACACACGCACACTCACACACGCGCACACACATGCGCACACACTCACACACGCGCACACTCACACACGCGCACACACATGCGCACGTACACACCAACACCCTCCATTCGATGACATCACCATTGCGCCTGTGCCAGGCTATGTGCACGTTGAGGCCGCGTGAAGTGTCGAACGCCCGCTGGCAGGAGGTCACGGGGCAGACCCAGGTGCCACGGGTCGACCGACTGAGATGAGTGGCTGATGCACCACCTGTGCCCCCTACTGTGCCAACTTTCCGTATTTTAGCCACCCGGCGCTCCGCTCGTTGTTGTGAGCGTCGCTCCTCCGCCCTCCGTTGTTGTTGGAGGGCGACTGCCTCCAACTGCCCAGTAGCGTCCTTCACGAGCCTCCTCCACAGAGGCCGATCTTGACACCGCTGGTACCAGTCATCGGCAAGTCCACTCAGCTCCACGTCCTCCCGTATGACATCACTCCATCTCTTCCCTAGCCCGTGCCGCACCCGTTTGGCCCTTTCTATCCGGCCGAACAAAAGCTGTTGAAGCATTGCGTTGGCTGGGCATGCGGGCTACATGACCCAGTCTGGCATAAACACACACACACACACAAAGATCGCCGGGTTCACAGCGCAGCGTGGCGCTAACCGCACACACACACACACACGCACGCAAGCACGGCAATGCCAGGCGGCGCACACCGAGATGGCATCGGAGACGCGGAGACCGGATCCCGAGACCCCGAGACCAAGCCTGGCTTGGGCCGAGCGTCCGTCTCTCTCCCCCCCACCCCGTCTCTCTCCCACGGTCGTCGGCAGGCCACCAGGAGAACAATAACTTCTGCTCGGTGAACATCAACATCGGACCCGGCGACTGTGAGTGGTTCGCCGTTCCCGAGCCGTACTGGGGACTCATCAACGACTTCTGTGAGAAGTGAGCGCCGCTCGCCCCCGCTCACGCTCGCTCGCACTCGCTCGTTCACGCTCACGCTCACTCGTTCACACTCGCTTGTTCACACTCACGCTCGCTCGCTCACCCCGGCTCACTCACCCCCGCTCACACTCGCTCGCTCACACTCACTCGCCACACTCACTCACACTCACCTCACTCGCCCCACTCACCCCACTCACACTCGCTCGCTCACACTCACTCGCCTCACTCACTCACACACCTCACTCACCCCACTCACACTCGCTCGCCCTGTCCTACTCTCTCACTCGTCCTCACTCATTCTCTCTCGTCCCCACTCATTCTCTCTTGTCCCCACTCATTCTCTCTCGTCCCCACTCATTCTCTCTCGTCCCCACTCATTCTCTCTCGTCCCCACTCATTCTCTCTCGTCCCCACTCATTCTCTCTCGTCCTCACTCATTCTCTCTCGTCCTCACTCATTCTCTCGTCCTCACTCATTCTCTCTCGTCCTCACTCATTCTCTCTCGCCCTCACTCATTCTCTCTCGTCCCCACTCATTCTCTCTCGTCCCCACTCATTCTCTCTCGTCCTCACTCATTCTCTCGTCCTCACTCATTCTCTCTCATCCTCACTCATTCTCTCTCGCCCTCACTCATTCTCTCTCGTCCCCACTCATTCTCTCTCGTCCCCACTCATTCTCTCTCGTCCCCACTCATTCTCTCTCGTCCCCACTCATTCTCTCTCGTCCCCACTCATTCTCTCTCGTCCCCACTCATTCTCTCTCGTCCCCACTCATTCTCTCTCGTCCCCACTCATTCTCTCTCGTCCCCACTCATTCTCTCTCGTCCTCACTCATTCTCTCTCGTCCTCACTCATTCTCTCGTCCTCACTCATTCTCTCTCGTCCTCACTCATTCTCTCTCGCCCTCACTCATTCTCTCTCGTCCCCACTCATTCTCTCTCGTCCCCACTCATTCTCTCTCGTCCTCACTCATTCTCTCTCGTCCTCACTCATTCTCTCGTCCTCACTCATTCTCTCTCGTCCTCACTCATTCTCTCTCGCCCTCACTCATTCTCTCTCGTCCCCACTCATTCTCTCTCGTCCCCACTCATTCTCTCTCGTCCCCACTCATTCTCTCTCGTCCCCACTCATTCTCTCTCGTCCTCACTCATTCTCTATCGCCCTCTCTGTCTCTCTGGCTCCATGAGCCGTGTCAGCTGCTCGCTAACGGCACTTGCCGCCAATGGATCTGGTTAAAGGCTACTCCGGTGGGCTGGGAATGGGAGGGGGGTGTGAACACCTTTGTCTTTGTGCGTGCGTGTGGTGTTGCTTGTTGTGTGTGCGTGCTGTGTGTGTGCGTGTGTGCTGTGCGTGGCGTGCTGTGTGTGCTGTGTGTGTGTGCGTGCGTGCGTGCTGTGTGTGCTGTGTGTGTGTGCGTGCGTGCGTGCTGTGTGTGCTGTGTGTGCGTGCTGTGTGTGCGTGCTGTGTGTGCGTGCTGTGTGTGCTGTGTGTGTGTGCTGTGTGTGCGTGCTGTGTGTGCTGTGTGTGCTGTGTGTGTGTGCTGTGTGTGCGTGCGTGCGTGGCGTGCGTTCAGGAACAGCGTGAACTTCCTGACGGGCTCGTGGTGGCCGGTGCTGGAGGACCTGTGCGAGTCGCGCGTCCCCGTTTACCGCTTCGTACAGCGGCCCGGCGACCTGGTGTGGATCAACGCGGGCACGGTGCATTGGGTGCAGGCCGTGGGCTGGTGCAACAACATCGCCTGGAACGTGGGCCCCCTCACCGGTGAGAGGGCGGGCGGGCGGGCGGCAAGGGCAACGCGGCCGCTGGCGCCGCCTCCCGGCCAGCACCGCCACCACTAGCGCCACCACCGTGCACCACCACCCACCAACACCACCGCTAGCACCACCACCACTCACCACCACCACTCAACACCACCCACAAACACCACCGCTAGCGCCACCACCGTGCACCACCACCCACCAACACCACCGCTAGCACCACCACCACTCACCACCACCCACAAACACCACCGCTAGCACCACCACCACTCACCACCACCACTCAACACCACCCACAAACACCACCGCTATGACCACCACCGCTAGCACCACCACTCACCACCACCACCGCTAGCACCACCACTGCTAGCACCACCACCACTCACCACCACTCACCACCGCTAGCCCCACCACCACTAGCCCCACCACCCACTAGCCCCGCCACTCACCACCACCATCACTCGCACCACCACCGTGCACCACCACCGCAATCGCCACCTCCCATCCAGTGCCACCACCACCACTGTGCAGCACCACCTCCCAAGCACCACAGTGACTACAGCGCGTGTGTATGCGTGCGTATGTCTGTGTGTGCGTGGGTAGGGCAGTTGTGGAGAGAGTGGAGAGTTTCCCATACCTGGGCAGTGTGCTCATGACCGGCTCCGGTTTAACAGCAGGGGTCTCTCTCCGAATCAGTCGAGCGGCAATATCTTTTCATCGGTTGCGTAACGCTGTGTGGAAGCTACCTGGTCTGTCGCTCCGCACTAAGCTTCAGGTCTTCTCGGCCACGGTCATTCCCTCCCTTCCCTACGCTTGCAGAACGTTGACCCCCCTAATGGAACATCTTCGCCGGTTAGAAACATTTAGGCTGACCTGCCTACGATCCATCCTGGGTTTAACCTGCAGGCTGGATTGTGTGAGGAGCTCACAAATCCTTGAAAGATCTGGGCAAGGTCCCATCGGTGAGCTCCGGCAGGCAAGGCTGCGTTGGCTGGGTCATGTAGCCCGCATGCCCAGCCACCGCATGCTGAAACAGCTTTTGTTCGGCCAGATCGAGGGGGCTAAACGGGTGCGGCACGGGCTAGAGAAGAGATGGAGTGATGTGGTACAGGAGGACGTGGAGCTGAGTGGACTTGCCGATGACTGGTACCAGCGGTGTCAAGATCGGCCTTTGTGGAGGAGGCTCGTGAAGGACGCTACTGGGCAGTTGGAGGTAGTCGCCCTCCAACAACAACGGAGGGCGGAGGAGCGACGCTCAGAACAACGAGCGGAGCGCCAGGTGGCTAAAGCACAGCAAGTTGGCACAGTAGGGGGCACAGATGGTGCATCAGCCAGTCATCACAGTCAGTCGACCCGTGGCACCTGGGTCTGCCCCGTGACCTCCTGCCAGCGGGCGTTCGACACTTCACGTGGCCTCAAGGTGCACATGGCCTGGCACAAGTGTTGTGGTGACGTCACCGCCACTTAGTGGCGAATGGCGGTTGTTGTGTGTGTGTGCGTGTCTGTGTGTGTGTGCGTGTCTGTGTGTGCGCGTGTCTGTGTGTGTGTCTGTGTATGTCTGTGTGTGTGCGTGTGTGTGTGTGTGTCTGTGTGCGCGCCACGAACCCGGCGACCCGGGTTCGATTCCTGTGCACGGCCACCAACGCCGGCAGTGACGATTATCCTCACCGATCCTGGGCCTCCCCTAGGTCGACTCGGCCTCAAATGAGTACCTGGCGCTGCGTGTAGTAAACATCGCCCACTGGGGGAGACAAAGGCGGTCGGGCGCGGTACCGGCCACCCACTCCCCCCTCGTGTGCCACGGCGCCGCTAGCCTTTGTAGGCGCCGCTGCTACTCGCCGCTGCCAGCACTTGACCCGACAGTCTGTTACAGGCTACACTGAGGGGGAATCTCTTTGTCTTTGTGTGCGGTGGGTTTTTCAACCTCTGTCAGCGTGCCAGTACCGCCTGGCGCTGGAGCGCTACGACTGGAACAAGCTGCAGAGCGTCAAGTCCATCGTGCCGGTCGCCCACCTCTCCTGGAACATGGCGCGCAACATCAAGATCACGGACAGCCGCCTCTACGAGGGCATCAGGTGAGGGGAGGGTGCTGCCCAGCCACTCACCTACCCACCCAACCACCCAGCCACTCACCTACCCACCCTCCTACCCATCCAGCCACTCACCTACCCACCCAACCACCCAGCCACTCACCTACCCACCCAACCACCCAGCTGTCCACCCAGCCACTCACCTACCCACCCTCCTACCCATCCAGCCACTCACCTACCCACCCAACCACCCAGCCACTCACCTACCCACCCAACCACCCAGCTGTCCACCCAGCCACCCAGCCACTCACCTACCCACCCAACCACCCAGCTGTCCACCCAGCCACCCACCTACCCACCCAACCACCCAGCCACTCACCTACCCACCCAACCACCCAGCTGTCCACCCAGCCACCCAGCCACTCACCTACCCACCCTCCTACCCATCCAGCCACTCACCTACCCACCCAACCACCCAGCCACTCACCTACCCACCCAACCACCCAGCTGTCCACCCAGCCACCCAGCCACTCACCTACCCACCCTCCGACCCATCCAGCCACTCACCTACCCACCCAACCACCCAGCCACTCACCTACCCACCCAACCACCCAGCTGTCCACCCAGCCACCCAGCCACTCACCTACCCACCCTCCTACCCATCCAGCCACTCACCTACCCACCCAACCACCCAGCCACTCACCTACCCACCCAACCACCCAGCTGTCCACCCAGCCACCCAGCCACTCACCTACCCACCCTCCTACCCATCCAGCCACTCACCTACCCACCCAACCACCCAGCCACGCACCTACCCACCCAACCACCCAGCTGTCCACCCAGCCACCCAGCCACGCACCTACCCACCCTCCTACCCATCCAGCCACTCACCTACCCACCCAGCCACCCAGCTGTCCACCCAGCCACCCAGCCACTCACCTACCCACCCTCCTACCCATCCAGCCACTCACCTACCCACCCAGCCACCCAGCCACTCACCTACCCACCCAGCCACCCAGCTGTCCACCCAGCCACCCACCCAACCACCCACCTACCCACCCTCCTACCCATCGAGCCACTCACCTACCCACCCAACCACCCAGCTGTCCAGCCAGCCACCCACCCAGCCCCCCACCTACCCACCCACCTGCCCACCCAGCCACCCACCTGCCCACCCAACCACCCAGCTGTCCACCCAGCCCCCCACCTACCCACCCTCCTACCCATCCAGCCACTCACCTACCCACCCAGCCACCCAGCCACTCACCTACCCACCCTCCTACCCATCCAGCCACTCACCTACCCACCCAACCACCCAGCCACTCACCTACCCACCCAACCACCCAGCTGTCCACCCAGCCACTCACCTACCCACCCTCCTACCCATCCAGCCACTCACCTACCCACCCAACCACCCAGCCACTCACCTACCCACCCAACCACCCAGCCACTCACCTACCCACCCAACCACCCAGCTGTCCACCCAGCCACCCAGCCACTCACCTACCCACCCAACCACCCAGCTGTCCACCCAGCCACCCAGCCACTCACCTACCCACCCAACCACCCAGCCACTCACCTACCCACCCAACTACCCAGCTGTCCACCCAGCCACCCAGCCACTCACCTACCCACCCTCCTACCCATCCAGCCACTCACCTACCCACCCAACCACCCAGCCACTCACCTACCCACCCAACCACCCCGCTGTCCACCCAGCCACCCAGCCACTCACCTACCCACCCTCCTACCCAGCCAGCCACTCACCTACCCACCCAACCACCCAGCCACTCACCTACCCACCCAACCACCCAGCTGTCCACCCAGCCACCCAGCCACTCACCTACCCACCCTCCTACCCATCCAGCCACTCACCTACCCACCCAACCACCCAGCCACTCACCTACCCACCCAACCACCCAGCTGTCCACCCAGCCACCCAGCCACTCACCTACCCACCCTCCTACCCACCCAGCCACTCACCTACCCACCCAGCCACCCAGCTGTCCACCCAGCCACCCAGCCACTCACCTACCCACCCTCCTACCCATCCAGCCACTCACCTACCCACCCAGCCACTCACCTACCCACCCAGCCACCCAGCTGTCCACCCAGCCACCCACCCAACCACCCACCTACCCACCCTCCTACCCATCCAGCCACTCACCTACCCACCCAACCACCCAGCTGTCCAGCCAGCCACCCACCCAGCCCCCCACCTACCCACCCACCTGCCCACCCAGCCACCCACCTGCCCACCCAACCACCCAGCTGTCCACCCAGCCCCCCACCTACCCACCCTCCTACCCATCCAGCCACCCACCTACCTACTCACCCACCCACCCAGCCACCCACCTGCCCACCCACCCACCTGCCCACCCAGCCACCCACCTGCCCACCCACCCACCTGCCCACCCAGCCACCCACCTGCCCACCTAGCCACCCACCTGCCCACCCAGCCACCCACCTACCCACCCAGCCACCCACCCACCTACCCACCCAGCCACCCACCTGCCCACCCAGCCACCCACCTACCCAGCCACCCACCCACCTACCCACCCAGCCACCCACCTACCCACCGAGCCACCCACCCACCCACCCACTTGCCAGCCAGCCACCCACCCAGCCACCCACCCAGCCACCCACCCAGCCACCCACCCAGCCACCCACCTACCCACCCAGCCACCCACCTACCCACCCAGCCACCCACCTGCCCACCCAGCCACCCACCTGCCCACCCAGCCACCCACCCACCCGCCCACCCAGTCACCCACCTGCCCACCCAGCCACCCAGGCAGCCACTCACCCACCCAGCCACCCACCCAGCAGGAGACCGTGCCTTACGAGCACAGAATTCACTGGCATGCGACGTGACACACACACGTGACGTGACACTCACGTGACACTCACGTGACACACGCACATAGCACACACGCGCGCTCCTTACCGACGCACAACTCGAGTGCGTGTGACACCGTTGCTGCCCGTGGTGCCGCGCAGGTGGTGCCTGATGCGCTCGCTGCAGGCGGTGCAGATGACGAGGGAGTCGCTGCTGAGCACCGGCAAGAAGATCGTGTGGCACGGGCGCGCCAAGGAGGAGCCCGCACACTACTGCAGCGTGTGCGAGGTGACGGGGGGGGGGGGTGGAGGTGGGGGAGGGAGTCGCGTTGTTCTGGGTGTGCTCGTCACACCCCCCCCCCCCTTGTGTCACTGTCACACTACGTTTCTGTGTGTGTGTGTCACTGTGTGTGTCACTGTGTGTGTGTCACTGTGTGTGTCACTGTGTGTGTCACTGTGTGTGTGTCACTGTGTGAGTGTCACTGTGTGTGTGTGTGTCACTGTGTGTGTCACTGTGTGTGTGTGTCACTGTGTGTGTGACCTGCTGTCTGTGTGTGTCACTGTGTGTGTGTGTCACTGTGTGTGTGTGTCACTGTGTGTGTGTGTCACTGTGTGTGTGTGTCACTGTGTGTGTGTGTCACTGTGTGTGTGTGTCACTGTGTGTGTGACCTGCTGTCTGTGTGTGTCACTGTGTGTGTGACCTGCTGTCTGTGTGTGTCACTGTGTGTCACTGTGTGTGTCACTGTGTGTGTGTGTCACTGTGTGTGTGACCTGCTGTCTGTGTGTGTCACTGTGTGTGTGACCTGCTGTCTGTGTGTGTCACTGTGTGTGTGTGTCACTGTGTGTGTCACTGTGTGTGTGTGTCACTGTGTGTGTCACTGTGTGTGTGTCACTGTGTGTGTGTGTCACTGTGTGTGTGACCTGCTGTCTGTGTGTGTCACTGTGTGTGACGTGCTGTCTGTGTGTGTGGCCTGCTGTGTGTGTCACGGTGCGCCAGGTGGAGGTGTTTGACCTGCTGTGTGTGTGTCACCGTGTGTGTGACCTGCTGTGTGTGTGTGTCACTGTGTGTGTGACCTGCTGTGTGTGTGACCTGCTGTGTGTGTGTGTGACCTGCTGTGTGTGTGACCTGCTGTGTGTGACCTGCTGTGTGTGACCTGCTGTGTGTGTGTCACGGTGCGCCAGGTGGAGGTGTTCGACCTGCTGTTCGTCACGAGCGAGTCCAACAGCCGCAAGACGTACGTGGTGCACTGCCTGGCGTGCGCCCGCAAGGCCAGCGCCTCGCTCGACGGCTTCGTGGTGCTGGAGCAGCACCAGCTGGAGGAGCTCACTGACATCTACGACCAGTTCAGCCTGGTGAGGCCACGCCACCACTCGCCACTCAGCACTCACCATGCCACTCGCCACTCCACTCGCCACTCCACTCGCCACTCCACTCACCACGCCACTCCACTCACCACTCCACTCGCCGCTCCACTCACCGCTCCACTCGCCACTCCACTCGCCACGCCACTCACCACTCCACTCGCCACTCCACTCACCACGCCACTCCACTCACCACACCGCTCACCACTCCACTCACCACTCCACTCGCCGCGCCACTCACCACTCGCTACTCCACTCGCCACGCCAAATAAGTTCTACATACACACACACACAAACATGCGTAAGGGATTTCTTGGTTAGATCGCGTGATTATATAAATATTCTTTGGTTCTTTCGGTCAAGTCACGACGTTTTGATATCAACGCAAGCAATCGTCACCTTTTTACCCCCCCCCCACTCTCTGTCTTCCGCCTGATGACGACTGCTTGCGTTGCGACCGAAACGTCGTGATCTACGTGATGATGGAAAGAACCAAAGAGTATGGATTCCTGCAGTCACGAAAACTTAAAATCAATCTATATATCAATGTTGTGTCGTTAAATCCACCACCACCCGACACAGCCAACTGGTAATGGGTTTGTCACGTAAACAGAACATTTACAATTCGTTACTAGTACAGCACTAACCGGTTGCTGTGTGTTGGAGAGTTAACTCTCTAACACACAGCAACCGGTTAGTGCTGTACTAGTAACGAATTATAAATGTAGTAGTGGGTTTAACTCTCCAACACACAGCAACTGGTTAGTGCTGTACTAGTAACGAATTGTAAATGTAGTAGTGGGTTTAAACCCACTACAACATTTACAATTCAAGTAACGTGACGTTTCGCCGGTAATTACAACAACCGTAACAACAACAACAACTATCAGGCAAACAGCCACAGAGTTGTGGTGAAATCCCTCCTGTTTCAGTCTCAAATTGACGGCGTATGAGCACGTCGTACACCGCACGTCGCACACGTCACACCGCACACGTCACACCGCACGTCATACACCGCACACGTCACACCGCACACGTCACACCGCACACGTCACACCGCACGTCATACACCGCACACGTCACACCGCACACCGCACACGTCACACCGCACGTCATACACCGCACACGTCACACCGCACACGTCACACCGCACACGTCACACCGCACACGTCACACCGCACACGTCACACATCACACCGCACAGGTCACACCGCACACGTCACACCGCACATCGTACACCGCACACGTCACACCGCACACGTCATACCGCACACGTCACACCGCACATCGTACACCGCACACGTCACACCGCACATGTCACACCGCACACGTCACACCGCACACGTCACACCTCACACGTCACACCGCACACGTCACACCGCACAGGTCACACCGCACACGTCACACCGCACACGTCACACCGCACACGTCACACCGCACACGTCACACCGTACACGTCACACGTCACACCGCACGTCGCACACGTCACACCGCACACGTCACACCGCACACGTCACACCACACGCTGCACACGGCACACGCGGCCACCGTTACTGCCTCCCGTTGAACCGCTCCGTGCCCTCCCCTCTCAGGCTGCACCTCCGTCCATAACTTCCTGATGAAGGCCGCTGCCTCCGCCCTCTACCGCCGCTGAAGCCGCCGCTGAAGCCGCCACCGGAGCCGTCTCTGGCGAAGGAGCAACGCGCGACGGGACGCCGTCTCAGGAGCGTTGGTGGATGAGGAGGAGGAGCCGCCGCCGCCGCCGCCGCCGGCGGCAGGAAGAGAGCTTCAGTCGGCGGAGACGCAAAGCCGACCGGACCCTTGAGTACGAATCGCGCGGAGCGCAGAGCGGACGAAGGGCGTGGAGGGGGGGTGGCGTGGGTGGCGTGGGTGGCGTGGGTGGCGTGGGTGGCGTGGGTGGCGTGGGTGGCGTGGGTGGCGTGGGTGGCGCGTCGCCGGCCCGCCGGCCCGCCGGCCCGTGCGTGGCGGTAGAGGGGGCGGAGGGGGTAAGGTTTGGGAGCCACGGGTGCGAGGAGCGAGCCATGGGAGGGAGGGGAGTGGAGCCACGGGGAAGGCGGCGGTGGCGACAAGCGGGGGGAGCCCACAGAGGATGGAGGGGTGGGGGCGTGGCGGTGTTGGGGTGGGGGAGGCGGCAGCAACCCATGGCCCCCCCCCCGCCGCCGTGGCGGCCGGCCACACAACCCCCACGCGAACGTGGGGGGCCCCCCCCCCCTCCCCGCACGCTCGCAACGCGGTTGCCGTCTCTGGGACATGGAGAAGACACGGAACGCGTGCGTGGGACATCGCCACCACCACCACCACCCACTCCCCCTCCCGCCGCGCGAGTTTTAATTTTGTCCGTCGAATATTTTTCATTTCTTACCCCCCCCCCCTCCTCTCTCTCTCTTCTCGGTTAAAATTATTTTATTTTTTTGGGATTTCGGTGAAAACGCCGTTCGTGATGCCCCGGCCGGGGGGACTGCTGTCGCGGAAGCAAAAACTTGTTAATCTATGCAACCCCCCCTCGGTGTGTGTTTTGACAGCAGTCTTGAGAGAGAGAGAGTGAGAGCGGAGAGAGCGAGAGAGAGTGGAGAATGCAGAGAGCGAGAGAGTGAGAGCGGAGAACGCTTCACGAGTGAGAGTGGAGAACACTTCACGAATGAGTGAGAGTGGAGAGAGTGATAGAGAGTGAGAGCAGAGAGAGCGATAGAGTGAGAGCGGAGAGAGCGATAGAGAGCGATAGTGAGAGTGAGTAGAGAGTGGAGTGAGAGTGAGTGGAGAGTGAGAGTGGAGAGTCAGAGTGGAGAGAGAGCGAGTGAGAGTGGAGAGAGAGAGGGGGAGGCCGGCTTGTTGACATATTTAGAAACCGTATTGAATAAAAAAAATTAACTTCTCGTTTTGTTGTTCACATCTTGTTAATTTTATCGTCGTTGTCATTTGTCACTCACCCACCACCACCACCGACCCTCCCTCCCTCCCCCAGGGCCGTATTAAGATTGTTGTACGCCCGAGGCGACTTCTGTTTCGTTAGGCGCTCGAGTGGTGACGTTCCAAACAGTTGGGTCACTGCTGCTGCCCCCCCCGTGTCACTACTTGCCTACCGCCACTGTCCGCTCCGCTCACCTCTCTCGCGCGGTTCTTCGTCGGCCTGGTCGCTGGACAGGACGTTGTTACTGCTGCCACGCTCGTTACTTTAATCTGTGTGCCCCCGCATCGGATGGGAGCGCACCGCCATGGGCCGCAGATCGAGCAGATTTCGCCGGAGGTTATTGAGAGACGGGGAGAGAGAGAAACAAAACCCCCGAGGTGTGTGGGCATTTAAAAATATTGGAAGATGTCAACAGGTGTATTTTTTATTGCTTTCATCATAATTGGCTATCTTGGTTCCACTTGTTTTTTTTTACAAATCGGACAAACCATGGGTCTTGTGTAGTTTTCTAAGGCCCCGCTATTTTAGTTGCCGTCGGCCCTAAGTACGGCACGGGTGCCTACATTAACGGCCCTGGTGGGGTGGATGAGTTGGGTGAGTGAGTGGCCGCGTGGGTGGGCGAGCGAGTGGGTGAGCGAGTGAGTGAGCGAGTGACCGGCTGGGTGGGTGGCTGTGTGAGTGACCGGCTGGGTGGGTGGCTGTGTGAGTGACCGGCTGGGTGGGTGGCTGTGTGAGTGACCGGCTGGGTGGGTGGCTGTGTGAGTGGCCGGCTGGGTGGGTGGGTGAGTGGGTAGGCTGCAACAGGCACGGCGCCTAACTGCGGCCTACTGGATAATAACGGCCCTGACCCAACCCCAACCCAACCCACCCCACCCATCCCTCCTTCCCCCCCACGTCTCATCGGTTCCGTAAAAAAAGACGAAGCAGACTCGAGTGAGCGCTGTAAAATGTCGGGAATGGTTTTTGTTTTTTTGCTTTTTGGGAATGATATCACTTGCCGAGTTTTGTTCCACAAACTAAAGAAAATGTTGAACCCCTCTCGCTCTCCGTCTCTCTCCGATTTTTAGTCGACTGTGATGCGTTCGCTCACCCCGCTCCTCACCCTTCCTCCTCACCCTCCCGTTATACCGCGTGCGTGTGACGCTCATCGTTAAGATGATGACTACTGATTTAAAGAAAGCAGAAAATTTGGTTTTCAGATATTTTGTAATTATTAAGATTGTTATTAAACTATCTGCATTGTTCCACAGCAGTGATTAATAATGATGCCTGTGTACAGATTATATAGCATCTACCTTTGCCAGCCTGGCTTTTTTCTCCACATAGCTAGTATTTTCCTCTTTTTTGATGTTTTATATTGTAGCTTATAGACTTCTTTAATGAAAAAAAAAACAATTTTAAAAAAAGTTCAAAAAAATAAAATAAAAAAAATTTCTATATAACGACGATGACGCAAAGAAGTTCTAAAAAAAACTTAAAATTATAAAAAAAAATACAAATAAAATCGACCACCGTCTTCTTTGGGACAATAATACACCTTGTACAATGACAGTTTTGGTTTTTTTTGTAACGTGAAAAGATTTTAAAAACAAAGGTTGGGGTGGCAAATTATACTTTTGTACGACGTTCTGCGTTCAGCCCGTTTTTGTTATAAATAAATAAAGATATCTCCTCCTCGTGCGCCCATCCCACCCACCCACCACCCCACATCACCCACCACACCACATCATCCACCCACATCACCCACCCACCACATCACCCACCCACCGACCACATCACCCACCCACCACACCACATCATCCACCCACATCACATCATCCACCCACATCACCCACCCACCGCACTACATCCACCCACAACATCACCCACCCACCACACCACACACTCAGCACCCCACCCACCACATCACCCACCACCACATCACCCATCCACCCACCACATCATGCACCCACCACATCATGCACCCCATCCACCCACCACACATCACCCACCACATCACCCACCAACCGCATCACCCACCACCACATCACTCATCCACCCACCACATCATCCACCCACCACATCATGCACCCCACCACCACATCACCCACCCACCACCCCACACCATCCACCCACCACATCACCCACCCACCCATCGACTCGCAACTCGCGTCGCTTTATTTTTTTTCGGTTATAAAATCACGACAAGATTATTTTTTGTCGTGCCCGCTTATGAGTTTTACGAAGCTCAAAAATTTTAATATTTTTTTTGCTGTTGCAGTCTTTTTCCTGTCGCAGATTTCTCCTTCATTGGTTTGATCGTCATTACCTCCCTCCCTCCCTCCCCTCTCCCTCCTTGAATAATAAAACACAAAAAAAATAACCGAATATTTTCCTCCTCTTTCCTTCCCTTGATATTTTTATCATCACACCTCTCAATAGCTCTTGGGTTTTCATTATTATTTTTTTTTGGGGGGGCGGGTTCCTCCCTCCTTCCCTCCCTCCTCCTCCTCGATCTTTCTTGTAAATGTTACACTATTTATAAATCTATTTATTGCTCAAATCCGTGTCGCCTCGTTTTGTCTGTCTTTTCGTTAGGAGGGGGTGGTGGGTGGGTGACCTTTTGCCCTCAACCCCCCCCCCATGACCCCCCTTGACCCCCCTCCCCCCCCACAGCCGAGATGTGAATCTCACACAGACCACACGCGCAGTGTAAGCCATAGCAATGTGGAGTGGCGGTGTCGTGTGTGTGTGTGCGCGCGCGATCTGTCTGACCCTTCACATTGGACTTCTCTCAACCACCATTGGCCCAGCGGCGTCTCTACAGCTGTCCGATGTTGAAAGCAACGTTGGGCCAGCCAACGTTCCAGTACAAAATAAATACTCTGATTCTGAATTCAACTCCAGGCTCAAAGTCGTCTTGGAGACCCACAACCCTTATTTTGGTTGGCCACAAATTGATTCCAATCCATCTAAAATCCATACATGGGCAAGTATCATCAATACTAATCATACAGTTGTGATGGTCACAAGTTCATCCTAATCAATACATTGGCAATTATAAATAATAGTCATACAGTTGTGTTGGTTACAACGTTCATTCTAATCAATGCATTGGCAATTATAAATAATCATACAGTTGTGATGGTCACAAGTTCATCCTAATCGATACATTGGCAAGTATAAATAATAATCATACAGTTGTGTTGGTTACGTTTCATTATAATCAATGCATTAGCAGTTTTAAATGTAAAAAGCACCGTTTAAAGCAAATACATTTTAAATTGATTCTATAGGACTGTAGTTCCAGTGTCAAATTATATAGCACAGAGGTTACAATGGAAATCCTATAGTACTCTGGTTCCAGTGTTAATTCTCTAGTACTATGGTTCCAGTGTAAAATTCTATTGTTTAGAGGTTACAATGCAAGTCCTATAGTACTCTCTGGTTCCAGTGTTCATTCTCTAGTACTATGGTTCCAGTGTAAAATTCTATTGTTTAGAGGTTACAATGTAAATCCTATAGTACTCTGGTTCCAGTGTTAATTCTCTAGTACTATGGCTTCCAGTGTACTGTACTGTAATTACCTTAATTTAGACTTTACAATGGGATTCCTATAGTGCAGTACCGTGGTTCCAGAGGACCCTGGCTCCACTATAACTGTATAATACTATATGGCTCTATGGCTTCCAGTGTAATTCCTTTGTAGGTTGCAATGGCATTTCCCTATAATACTGTGGGTTCCAGCGTCAATTCTATATTGCAGGATAGTCCTAAAGTTCCGACGTGAATGCTATAGTATCGGTGTTACTTTGGAATTCCTGGAGTACTGTGGTATATTTCCCAATGTTCCCGGTGTATTTCACATTGCACTGTATATGGTTCCAGAGTGAATTCTATAGTACTTTGAATTTACAATGGCATTTTAAATCAATTCAACCAGTATTGAAATGACATTGGAATTTCTAGTCCTGCAATTAAGGATA